CTCCCTTCTCACACCCCCTCCCATTGCCAGAGTGTCTCATCCTAGTGTTGGTCTATGAATGAGAAGCTGAGATATGGTTCAGAATCAGTGACACACAGGCTTAGAGACTGGGTTTCCTCTTTGCTTTGTGCAGTTACCCAGATGCATTAAAACATTTTAATCATCTTGGTGCATGGTTCTAAGCTGATCAGAGGTGAGTTTCAGGCCTACTTAAACATAGAAGGTGTACTCTCTGGGGCCTGCTTCAGAGCCTGTGAGGCTTCCTGGGTCCATCCTTCTCATTGCAGTCCAGATTTTGTTGCCCTGGCCCCTTGGGCCACCCGTTCTCTGATCCATGGATACCTGAAGAGAAACCATTGGCCAAGGTGGCCCATCCACTGGCTCTCTCTCTCTAGTTTAACCCTGAATCCCAGATCCCCCAGTGTCCCTGGGCTGCCAGCAGAGACTGTAGAAGCCTGCAAGTCTCCTGACCATTCCTAGTAGGTTTGACCTGATTAACCTGTTCAGATCCCCGAAGTAGTGGTCCTTATATAGTCTGGTGTCCTCACCTCTCTGTACTCTTCCTTCCCTTTATTCTTTTTGTGATCTGCATCTTGTCTGCATTGAAGGAACATATTTAGGCTTGGGGGTTTGCCTTAGTGTAAGCTTTAGGTAGCATAATTGACATCTTGCCTTTAATGAATCCTCATTAGATTAGAAGTATTTACAAATAGGACTTTCCTAAAACAAGGTTCTTATGTTTTAAAAGGAACTAAATGACTGTCAAATAAATTTAATCCACTTGAATTCACTTTCAAACTTATCTTTAGTGTAAAGATTGTTATTATGTCAAATTAATTCTAAATTTAGATAGAGAAGTATTCTAATATGCCAGTGTAATTTTGTATATTTTTAAAATTAATGGTTTCAAAACATATATTTTAAGTTCATTGCTAATTTACTCTCTTGTCAGTTTACTTCTCTATTTCATGATTTCTAAATTCTAAGAAATTGTTTTGTGTACAAAATTAACATTTAGAATCATCAGTAATGTGATGTTCCACTCTTGAAATATGAACATATTTAATCTTCTTCACTTTAGCTGATAGAATTTCAAGGTAGTTTCCTTGCCACTCTTTGGAAGGAAGTGCTAAACCTTAATAATGTACCCAGACACTGTCATATCTCACTCAGTTGTGCCCTTAGGGAGCAAATTCTTTAAAGCAACTAAAGGCCTTTCTGAGGTGAAGTGCAGACCTCTTGGGAACTAACTGTAGCACGTGCAGATTTGGCCTCTGTAGTTGACTGTTTTGACACTTGTCACTTTCAGGGCAGCCACTCTAAGTGAATTGACCTGCAGTGAATCTGAGGCCAGTAATCTCATTTTTAGACTCCTTAGCAGCTCTCAAGCGCAGCCAGTGCTGAATGCTGAGGTCTAGACAATCCTTACGGCTCCAAGGAAGGCGGTTCGTGGCCTGCCTAGCGCTCTTCTTGGAGGGCTGCCTTCTGCTGGGAAATGATCACCTTGTCCTCATAGGAGTCTGTGAGGAACTTGGCTGTGTGCATGTAGGGTGGTACTGCCCTACAGAGTACATGCACACATCCCAGTGCCACTGGCACAATGCCTAGGCTGGACTCATCCCAGCTCTGGGACTGGCCACTCTCCCTCGTTCATGGTTCATGTGTGCCTCAGTGTGTATCCTATTTACTAGGTTTGCTGCTGTTGTTTTTGGAGTAGGGGAAATAGTGGTTATTTATTAAAAGATTACAGTTCAAATTTTTAACATTAACCAGTCAATCTGTGCTACAACCAACCAACAAATAACAATTTTTCTAGTTGCTGAAAAGCAACTCAGTCTAAATTGCTTTCTCAGAGCTTACGAAAATGGTCCAATAAAAATATTATCTCAAGGCTCATAGAATACGACTTCAGAAAACATCTCAGGTTTGTTTATGAGTCGGAAACGATTTCTGTGCTGTGTGCTAAGCCCCGCCCTTTGTTGACCTGGTTTTGGAATGTTCTCAGCTGCACTCCAGTCCCATCACAGGCAGCAGCCATGGTTTTCACTTTGTGGATTTGGGTGGTCAGGTTTTATTATTAATAATAAACTGCACAGTTGAGTTTTTTGGCAAGCTTGCATAGGCTTCGAAGCCCTAAGAATGCTGTTCTGTGGGGAGAAAGCAGCCAACAGACCAACACTGGGAGATGCTCTTATGTCGGGCCTAGGCAGCTCAGCCATGAAGGAGATTCTTGTTTATGCCATCACATGCAAATGGCAGGAGGCACCTTCAGTTTCTAAACGTTTGAAAAACCAGTGCAAAGTGTTGATTATCTCCTTTCTTAAGGTTTTGTTTAACTGACTTTATTCATTATTTAATGAATCTTGTATACATTTTTAAACATTTTCAGTGTTAAACATTAATTCTTAATCGTTCTTCAGTTTACTTATTGGTAAGAAATAATGAATTTCCTTTCACTGACAGTGAGTTCATAAGAGTACATGCATTTTCCCTCTCAGTAACAACAGCACTACCTTTGTCAGCCATGTTCCCATTTGGAGACACTTGGGAATCTGAAGTATATGCTAGCCATTTAGTTCCAAGCACTGGGCAAAGTGCAGATAGCATGGCATCATGATGTGCCTTTGGCTGCAAGTGATGCCAGGCTGGGTGGTACTCAGTGACAGAGCACTCGGCCTGTTGTTCACCATGCCTTGCCTGGACTCATCTTCAGCACTGCATTAGAGAGACACAGATACAAGTCTAGGGTCTGAGGTCGGTCACCCAATCCTAAGGGTGATCCTTTGTCCTATTTGTGAATCCATGCCTTCCCCTCAGGCATAGGAAAGATGAGAAAGAGTATCAGGTAGAAGCCAAGTTGTACCTGCATGCCAGGCTGGTCAACACTATGCCCAGCTTGCTGGGTCTCCTGCCCTCCCATGGGCCTACCCACATACCCCATCACCATCCAGGTCTGCTATTTCTTTGCTCTTTCTACATGGATTGACTGCTTACTCAGACCTCACCTTGGTGCCTGCTGGTATGTGAATAGTGCTGTCACCACTGGTTGGGACAGTGCTGACACATCTCAGGAGCTCTGAAAATCTGTCCTGTGGATAAGTGATAATCAGTATGGATATAGTTAAAAGAATAGGAATACAATTGTTATTCATTATTATGTTTTTGATTCTAGTACTTTTCCTCTATTAGAGAAATATGTGGAAAGAGAGCTTGAGCCAGCAGTAATGAAACAGAGTAGGCTGAACAAAACTTTACTTTTGAATTCTCTTGTGGAACCCAAGAATCAAGAGGATTCCTTCTGAACTTCAGAAATTGTGCCTCTGCGGTTGCTTTGATGGTGTCTTCCGCAGGACAAGTCAGTGCTGAACCTTGAACCCTGAAAACTTTAGCCTCGCCACCTGGCTGCTGTCCCGCATCACCATTCACCCAAGTGACGCTATGGAGTCAGGGTGAAGATGTGGCCCACAAGGCTCAGCCCAGGACCAGCTCTGTGAGCTCTCTTGGATTCAGTAACTGCTATAGAGTCTCCCATTTTGTGAGGAGAGGTGCTAGCAGGTGGTGGTTTGTGGAAAGTTACAGGCCTTTCTCATCCTGCATACCAAAAACCCATGCTTACCTATGTAACTTCCTGTCCCTCGTCCTTCTGGGCATGGAAAGAGAGAGGTGACCCTCTATGTCTCTATTGTTAATTTCACCACTGATGTCATCACCATCATCTGGTCGGTCAACAGCATCCTCCGTAGTAGTAGTAGTAGTAGTAGTAGTAGTAGTAGTAGTAGTAGTAGTAGTAGTAGTAATAATAATAATAATAATAATAATAATAATAATAATAATAAAAATATCATTGTAATGGTGAAAGTGATTATTTCATTTTTCATATGTTTAGCAGTGATATTAAGTTTGCTTTATATCTGGGCTTGCATTTCTCTTTTAAGTAGCTCTTCTGTGGACTTGTTCTCTGCCCCCACCATGCCACAGGGCACTTCCTTTATTGGTAATTGTAAAGATACTTAGTGTGTTTACAAGCATTATCCTTTTCTTGGTTTCTATTGCTCATGTTTCTGTTCAGTGTTAACCTGTTGCTTTCAGGAGTATCACGTGTTGAGCAAACATTTCCACAAGCACAGGATCCTTCCAAGTCCATGCATTGAGAGACAGACTAGAATGCAGGTGACCAAGATTTAAGTATGGTGGTTTCCCTTGAGAGGGTCTGCAGAGTCTCCCACCCTCCATGTCCGTAGAACAGTGCATCAGTCTGAGCAGTTGGTCTGCTGTGCAGGACCAGAGAGTGCGCACCCAGCAATAACCCTGCCTTGGGCAGATGTTGAATTGAAGGTCAGAAGGAGATACTTTCTTAGTGATAGTAGCCACTTAGAGTTCCTGTGCTGAAATGGTACTAGAGCCTACAGAGTAAACCAGGAAAATGATCTTGCAGTTTTCTTTAACACAGCTTTCAGCAACAATCATCATACCACAAGAAAGCCCTGGGATACACAACTTCCACCTGAGTGAAATGGCAGTACTGCTTGCCAAAAGAGTGTGTAGCACCGGGCAGAGGGGGACAGGGCTGCACTGGATGGTAACAAAGCCATATTCATCATATATGTAGACACTATCCACCAGCTTTCCAGTAGAACAGACCTTGTCCCTCTGCGTGACCATGTATGAAATTCTGTTTGCATGGAACTCTGTTTTAGAGTTTGCTGCTTGTTCAGAAGAGAGACTGGAACCACCATGCTTCTAGCACTTGGCTCTGAAACTTAATGCAGGGATATGCAAACTCCCTGCAGATATAAGTTGTGTTTGCTCACAGAAGCCTTTCCCTTGCTGAAGTCTGTGTTTCAGTAGACTGCAGTCATACAGTATTTGGAGACAAGACCTCCCCTTAAAGTTCCTGGCCTTAGGAGAGCCCTGCAGAGGGAGCTCACTCCTCCTGCCTTGTACCTTGCACTCCCTGCTCCATATTGCTCCCCTCCTCCTCACTCTGATATTCCTCCCAGGTGCTGTAGCAAGCACTGAGGTGAAAATGAAGCTGCAGGAGTTTGTTCTCAACAAGAAGAAGGCACTGGCTCACCGGAACCTGAACCACTGCATTTCCAGTGATCCCCGCTACTGGTATGGGTAAGTGACCTGGGCCTCCTCTTTGGGTGCTTTGCATACTCAGCTCTGTGGACAGATTTGAGAGGACCCAGTTTTTCAAAGACCTTCTAATGTAGGGGTGGTAGAGATGCTGAACCCCCAAAGCTCTATAACCGGATTTGAAGGGAGGAGGTCTGGGGATAGTGTGTGTTACTATCCAGATGAGGGGTTATAGCCAGATGAGGGGTGGATATCTTCAGAGTACCAAGTCACTATTCTTAAACACTATAGGAACCACTTGCAGAGGACTTCTGTCCTAATTATCCACTGTTGCTTACTCAACTCTAATCTAATGCTTAATCAGAGTCTGAAAGCACTTTGGCATTAGCACAGCAAAGAAACCACTGAAATGGATGGTCCGTGGTTAGGGCAATAGTTTTATATTGTGTGTGTTTGTGGGGGTTAGGGGATGAGAGGCGTGTGGAATTGTCCAGAGCAAAGAGAAAAAGAAGAAAACTGGACAGGGAAGCAAGAATGAAGAGGTTAGGGGGTGAAACATTGCATTATATAGAGAAGGAGAAGGCGTGGGGGAGGTGAGAAGGGCCAGGAGGCTAGAGTGAACTTTGAAATGCATAACAAATATCAAATATGAATAGGGACTAAAGGAGTCTGGAGGCTGGCAGGGCCTTTGATATGCAATAGCAGGCAAATGTCAATGGACAGCCCTATGTCTCCTTTTCCAGAGTCAAAGGAAGATAATGGAAATGACTCTTTTTGTAGGCAGAAACCCTTTTCACAGGTTCCTAAGGAATGCTGCTGTAGGCTTTTAGCAGTCCTTCTATATAGTCCAACTTGAGCTGAGCCTATACTGTCATTTTTGAACATATACAATGCCTGTTGGGGAGCTTGAGTTTTCTTCTTCTTTTCTTTCTTTTTTTTTTTTTTTTTTTTTTTTTTTTTTTTTTTTTTTTTTTTTTTTTTGAGGCTGAGTTTCACTGTGTCCTGGAGTTTCACTGGCTGTCCTGGAACTCACTTTGTAGACCAGACTGGCCTCAAACTCACGGAGATTCTCCTGCCTCTGCCTCCTGAGTTCTGGGATTAAAGGTGTGCACTACCATGGCCTGGCCTGACAACATCTTTATGAGTAGTTACTGAGTCCTTGGGAAAGTTGGAGAGAATTTGGAAGAGCTATCAGCCTGGGCCAGAGCTTACATAGTGAGCAAACCAAAGCAGGATCTTGTCTGTGCCAAGAGATACAAGCAGCTAACTTGTCCAGGGTAAACAAGGCTTGAGCGTGGGCCGTTTGTGGTGTAGTATAGAGCCCACTGAGGAGACTTGGCCAGTTCTCACACGAAACACATGGCTAATTTGAAATTATGTTATGTTGCTCTTAAGGGTCATTTCATTGCTAGAAAGACGCAATAGGATAGTTTTCCTAAATCAAAATGTAGTCATTAATTTCATTCAAGGGAAAAAATAGCTTCCTAGTTTCAAAATGGCCTACTGTTTCCACTAAAACCCCACTGATGCCACTGAAATGGTCCATTTATTTGTATAGATGACTTCCGTTACCACGACATAACCTGGGGAGGTGCATTTGTACAGTGAGGTTCTTCATTGTCTTTTACTTGCTTTGTGGCTGCATACACTGCAAATCAACTAAAGTACACTACTGGTCTTCATGCAGCTTAGAAGAGGGTGAGGCAGGTGGCTCATGAGGAGTAGTGATGGGTGGTCATGTGGCGGGGCAGGTGAAGAGCCAGAGAGAACCTTAGCCTGTGGTGTGGTCTGCAGCCTCTGCTGCAGAGGTCAGCCGGGGCTTCTGCCATGCAGAGGCTCCATTGTCCTACAAGAATGGTCCGGGAGTTGCAGCCAACGATAGCAGTTGGGTTGGTGATTTGGAGGTGGACACGAGGATGCAAGCTGGAGAGGGCAGCAGGACTAGACTGGGTATAGGAGAGATAGCGGGACTTGGAAAAGGAGAACTGCTTAGGGCAGGTTTGGTGCCAACTTGTTAAAAGATTGTCTTCACACCAGGGAGCAGGGGGATCACCTTCAGAGAAGAAGATGAACAGTCCAGTTTAGGACCTAGGTAGTTTGGGGGGGGGGGGCTGTTACAAGAAATACAGGGTTTCAAGTGGCACCTTTGCAGGAAGTGGGATTTGTGAGTGGAGTTACAGCTCTTGGGGGGCAGTCACAGTTGTATAAACAGATGGGACTGCTGAAGCAGAAAGGGATTGGGAGAAAGGCCAACAGGAACAGGGGCTGTGGAGGAGCCAGCAGGTACCCTGCTACAGGTGAGACTTTATGGGGGAGGGGATTAGGTACATACTGAGAGACTGAAGGAATAGTACCTAGAGGAGAGGGGAGAGGAGGAGGTCTTTTCCTAGAACTTTGTCCTGTACAGGTTGCTCCAGGGAGATCCTAACCTGCATAAGGCCCTCTTCCTTGAAACAGTTTGGAAGTAAGCTGACTAGAAAGGGCAGACCCTGATATCAGACACACCATTCAGGAATTCAGTTTGATTTTATTGCGTTTGATGAACGTGCAAGGATCCTGACCAACCCTCATGTGCAGTGGCTAACCAATTGCAAGACATGATGGCAGAACACAGTCTTCAAGAGAAAGAGTCAAACTACTACTCAGCTTCACACATCATGTGGTGATTGCCGGTAAGAGCCGACAGCCAGTGAGGTCTGAGCATGCGGGCCAAGCCAACAAAACTTAGAAGGAAACATGTTGAGAGGGGTTTCTTTCCAGCAATGAAATTACCCTTAAGAGCTGAAGTGTAAGAGCTGGCGAAGTCTCTTCATCAGTGTCACGAGCTGTGAGCCCGTTACTAGAAACAGTCAGACACCATCAGCATTTAAAACAGCTCTTTGAAAGGCACCTTTCAAGAAAGCACATGAGCAGTAGACTAGAAGGACATGCTTCAATGCATCTGTAAAGTGCGTGTGAAGCTGCTGCAACTTCTCGTGTGTGTGCTAAAGATGTGAACAGGTGTGCCACAAGATAAGCTGTGCGAGTTGCCATCTAAGTGAGATGCGGCTTCTCACCTACAGGGCTAGCTAAACTTTAACCGGGGGTGGCAAAGTAGGGATGACTATTCCTGCACAGTTGGCTGGGGGGAAATTAAGTGGTGCAATACCATTAGAAATGGTTTAGAAGGTCTTCAAATGGTACTACAGCCCAGCAGTGTGCTTTCTAGTATTTGCCCAGGGATTCAAGTACACACCCAAGCTTAATCTCTGTGCTCCTAGCAGCTGAAACAGAAGTGACCCTCAGGACCGTAGGAGGTGAGTGGCTTGATAGGTTGGATCACCGTGCACTGCAATTGTGCAGCAGTGTGGAGACCTTACACGCAGTGTCCTTCCTTAAGCAGGGCAAACACATAGCCACCCCTTACCACTCTAGTCATATAAAACTGAACTCAGCAAAACAGTATTGAGAATCACCAACAAAGGGACAAAGGGGACAGTCTGGAATTGGGATTGTTCAAAGTCTGTTTGGTGGTGATAATCCATGTAGGGACGTGAGTGTCCATAATTTGAGCCTTAAAACTTCTGAGCCCCCATAGTGCAATGTGTCATGTGTTAGCTCCCAGGCCTGTAAAATTTAGTCTTGCAAAAAATACAGACCACAGGATTCCCATGAATAAACTTCATGTTAATTATATGTTAAAATAGTATTTTTATATCTCAGGTTAAGTAGAATACTAAAGTTAATTTCACCCATTTTTTTCTCATTTTTATGTAGCTACTAGAAAATGTAAATTACATGTGTAGCTCACACATTTCTGTTGGACTGTGTTGTTTCACTTGATTAACGAGTTTAGTTTAATCACTGGTATAAATCTGATGTAATGGGAAAGGCCAGTTGTTGATAGAATTTAAATGCTTGATTTTGTGTTATTTTATACCACATTCAAGGTAGCATTTAGAAAGAAAGCAATACTATTTGTTTTTTTATCTACAGTAATATGAGAACTGCCTTTAGTTTTATTCTGTTTATTTATTGTTTTTTCTTTCTTTTTGGGGGGGGGGTGCTACTGGGAATTGAACCCCAGGCCTCACACATGCTAGGCAGGTACTTTTCCATTGAGGTACATCCTCTAGTTCCAAAGACTTCCTCTTTGAAAAGGTCTGGTCAGTGAACAAGCATCTTCCTGCCGACTTTGTCTGCATCCTAGGCTAGAAATCAGGGCGAGTTAGAAACTGTTCTGTGTTCCTAACCTTTGGGATATGAGGATATGTGAGTCTGTGTTGGGGGGGTTGGGGTGAATATGAAGTTACAAACTTTATATGGTGGGTGTGTATATAGGTACAGTGATAGGGCATGAACTATAGGAGTTAGGGGATACAAACTTAGCCAGGGATAGGATTTGGATCCTTCCTTAGTGAGTTAATCCCAGGGTGAGGTGTGTTAGCCTGGCATTTGAAGGGCTTACCAAGGCTATCTGCTGGCATTTCTTCCCAAGTGGCTGCTTGTTCCTGGCATGCAAAGAGAGAAATGCCGAGAACCATAGGTAAGGGGGCTGCTCCTTACAAGGGATCTGGTTATGGGGACTTGAAGGTTCCCTTCTGCAATCTCTAGAGTCCCACAGAGGCCCCACTGGCTGTACATCATAACTGCCAGCTACAGCTGCAGCTCCAGGAAGTGTTTCTAGAGAACGAGGTAGGCAGCACTGGGAGCTGTGTCTCTGGCTCAAGGTAGGTGGTCCACAGCAGCCTCTTATTTCAGCTCATTTACAGACTGTACAGAAAAGTGGGTTTTATTTAATATTGACAGCATCTCGAGAGATGAGATGAGTAAGCGGAGATCTACTGGATCTGGAGTGACCAGATTTCCAACTGTTCTTCAGTAGGAAGAAACCCTGTCATGAAACGTAACAATGGTATTGTGTTTATTACATTTCTTTTAATTACCATATTTAAATTGTTTTCCTGTAGTTGACCATCTTTTTAACACACACACAAACACACCCCATCTGTGTTGTAGGGAAGAGAAAAGGGATGCCAAGGACCCCGTTGTAACTTAGCATTGAAGAAGTCTTCAGAGCTGCCCTCTTAAATTTGTTTCTGAGAGTCCCTTTAGTACATTCTTTGCATTATATGCTTTCAGATATTTAAATATATACTTGTGCTGACATGTCTGAGAGCTCCTACTCTGGATTCGCATAACTCCAGATGTGTGGATGCTGAGTACTGTATATCCAAATAAATCATTTGACGAAGTCTAAGCTAGAAAATGGGCAAATGTGTTTTGAGTCTTTAAGCAGATCTCCTGTCTTCAAGACCATAGACTGTTTCATGCTCTCAGAGTTCAGAGGAAGACTTGGTTAAAGGTCATTTAGGGTGGCCACAGTGCCCAGGACTTAATCCTGCAGCCCAATTCCTGCCTCCTCCTCTCTGCTCTCAGCATCTATTCACTTGCAACCATTCCCATCTAGCCATTTTTAGGACTTTTAAGTTGTGTTTGGCCATTAGAAGTTTACTTCCTCTAGTAACTTCCAGGGTAGAGATTCAAGCTGCTGTTGAACTGTCCCAAAAAGGAGATGGCTGGGGGATTTGTTGTCGTGGGCATGAGTGATAGATATATTCTGCAAAAGGAAAATCCTCAAGGGATCCTGTGCTTGAGGAGACAGACAGATGTGGGCATTTCCAGCACTTGCTAGGAGTCCATGCTGCCCCATCTCACTGCCTGAAGCCTTTCCTGTATTTCTCATGGCCGGGCCCACTAATCGTCTACTGCTTGCATCCTAAAGACAACCCCTGTGAGGGCTTAGGAATCCCAGAGAGCAGGTCTGGTCAGAGAATGGGTCGTAGGGTACTGTTGCTTGTTTGTTTTGGTTTACTCTGACCTCACCCTGGAGAAGAGGGACTAACAAAAGATCACATTTCAAAACTTGATATGCCAAGGCTTGGGATGCCTGGATACACTGACATCTGTCTTTGTGTTTTTCCAGGAAGACACAGCACAGCTCCCTTGACCAGAGCTCTCCGCCCCAGAGTGGGGTATCAGCCTCCTACAACCACCCAGTGTTGGGAATGTATGATGCCAAAGATGACTTCCCTCTTAGGAAAACAGGTCAGTGTGTAGTCTGCTGCCTGAGCACTTCCATCCTGACAGCAGTCTAGGGACCCCTTTTGAGCCACAGGTAGTACTTGGACATCTTGTGCCAGTTTAGGATACTGGCTTTTGCATTCTGACACTGTTTAAAATGACCCTAAGCTTCCCTGTGTGATTTATCCCTAAAGCAATTAGTCTCATACATGTACTCCTGCATTGTAGAACTTGTCCTCATTCCCAGAGCACCTTGTGTAACCTCCTTGGGAGTGTGCTCTGCTCTACAGTCCAGAGCAGAAGGGTAGTTCCAGGAGTAAGACAGCTCCTGTAGATGTGCTGGCCAAGGTCAGTGAGGATGTAACTCTGTATGGCTTCTGGTAGCACCATACAGGGATGATCAAGGTGTCCAGAGTGAAGGCAAGTCCCCGTGAGAAAGATGTGCTGGGTCCTGCAGGGACACCACTGTTGGCCCACAGCTTTGTACATCAGCTCTTAAAAACAAAGATTGTAAAGGAGACTAGACTGTTGTCAAAACAAGAGGAATATGCTAGAAGTGAAGACAAGCCAGGACATTCTTGGTTTAGGGGGGGTGATTGTTGTAGAGGATGGGAACTTTAGAGAAGGGCTGTGAATATTACGATTGGGATGGCGAGAAGGGTGGGCTTTCTGAAGGTTTATTGAGAGGGTGTGGAACTACATAACCTCAGCCTTTGTAGTGAGGGTGTAGCCTCAACCTGCAGGGCAGTGCAGAAGACTTCTTTCTGGGCTTCCTTCAGAAATGAGGTTCGAGGGGCATACCTGCTTTTACTAAACAAGTCAGGGAAATTATAAGTTTCTGTTATCTCAGCAAGGCTGCACTAGAGCTTTGCATAGTGGCTTCTTTGCAAGGCATCACAGAGACGAACAGGCTCACCTGTTACTCCTTCCTAAACTAGGAAGTTTCAGAGGACTGTCAGGTATAATTTGGCATGTCTTTGAGCAAACAGAAACCAGGGGCTGCTAGTTGAATGAAGGGACATTTTATATTAACTCGGCCTAAACAGGGCTTGACTAGTATTAGAAGTGTGTGAGATGGAATGGCCATGTCGGATTTGTTGCATTCCTGGTAGATACAGACTTGCTATGGAAGGACAAAGACACAGCCTAAATGCAGAGTAGTCAGCCCTCACTGAAGGATACACCTCCTGAAAATACCCCAGACAGCTTCCTCCAGAGCTCAACAGGAGGAAACAGTGCGTACCACTGTCCTGACGGGCGCAGAGCACTAAAGCAGCAGGACTGCAAGCATTGTTCTTCTTCTGCCGATGGTGGTGCTAGTAGTCCTGGTCTCAGGAGCTCCTTCAGAGATTGTCAAAACAGGTGACAGGACACTTACATCACTAGCCACTGGTAGTCACCACAGCCATGTGGCTCTCCATGCTTGTCCACAGGGCCCTAATACTTCTCCAGGAATCTCAGCCTACCCCTGTTGGTCCTTGCATTTCTCTGGAGACTGTTGGAAGCCAAGCCACAGCCATGTTGACTTCAAGCCTTGTCATCCAGCCCACATACAGACCCCACACCCTGAGAATAGAGGAAAGAAAGAATGCTTTTTACACTCTGGAGAGGCTCCAGAAAAACCTTAATTAAGGTTTGGTTACATTCCAAATTTTAAGAGGCACTACCAGCTCATGAATAATATTAATAATAAAGAGTCCAGAGAAAGTGGAAATCCTTAATTTCCTATGGTATTCAGGGAAGTGGCCTGCAGAACACTGAATGTGGCTTCTTTCAACCCTTGATGCTGCCAATGCTAAACGCACTTGTGTGTGTTTCTGCTGAAATGGTGATGTGAAAGATACAGTGAGTGAGGTTTCCTGCGTGAGGTACCATGATTGAGTTTAAATGACGGTCTCAAATAACTATATCTGAATCGTTCCTGGCTCTGACTTTATACTACTTTATGTTGACTTTGCAAATAGTTTGCCCATCTCAGTCCTTAAAGGATTTTAATCTTTATACAAAGTGAAATAAACCCTTGGCAATCTCCAGCTGCTTTCTTCTGTACTCCAGGCATATTTGCATAGGCCTTGGTGGCCTTCCTGAGATACCTGCTTACACATATTCTGTATCTGTCTTCCTTCTCTCATGAAAATAGCATGCAGCTTGCCTGATCTTTTTTATGCTCAGAGCTCAACTGTCTGAGTTCATCCCCAGCTATTCACACATTAGTGGCTTAGGAGACACTCTTCCCCCAGCTGATCTTAGAAGCAGTTGAGTGAGTCAAGGAAGACCTGGAAGAAATCTTTGCTCCACTCCCTCAACTGCTGGATAGACTGGACTCTTCCACCCTGTGACTTGTCCTACCAAGCCTTTCCCTCAGCTCCACTTAGCATAGGGCCACATGGAAATGACCCAGCTCAGTGGCCCATGCCTATGGCATCTGTATGCACCTGCAGGGCCTTCCTGCAGTGTGGAAACTGGCTATGGTAAGGGAGCAGCTTTTGTCAGTTTGAGGTTCTCGTCTCTTCTTATGAACCTGTCAGACCCAACCTGCCTTTACTTCTCTGGGAAGCTGTTTAGGAAACCTGCTTAGTCCCACTCTTCCCAAGAATCTTAAATCTGCACTTTGCCTCAGCACTTATCCTAAAGAAGATTCAGTTGATAACTCAGGCCAGAGCTTCCCCAGGCCTCCTCCTCAGAACCCTGACGTGTGTGTGTGTGTGTGTGTGTGTGTGTGTGTGTGTGTGTGTGTATGCACACATGCACCGCATGAAGGAAGGGGACTTCTCCCAGGATTCAGAGAGACGAAGGTGACATCTCACAACTTCACATATCAACATGTTTGCCCAAGCTTGACAGGATAGACACAGGGAGTTCTGGCAGATTGGCTGGCTTGATACTCCCAGGCTGTACTTCTCTGGAAGCTGAAGAGTCCCATGCCTTTTTGCATCAGGGTTTCCCACTGAGTTTCCCACTAGTTCCATCATGGCCTCACAGTTGCAGGTACTTACACAACTCTGTTTACAGGAGAACTGTTGAGCATTGCTTGCTCTTCCAAAGGTCCTGAGTTCAATTCCCAGAAACCACATGGTGGCTCACAACCATCTGTAATGTGGTCTTCTGTCCTCTTCTGGCCTGCAGGCATACACACAGAATATTGTATACATAATAAATAAATAAATATTTTAAAAAAAAATAAAAAGCCAGGTCCCAACCTCAGCTGTGCCTTTAGCCAGTGTCAGCAAAAAAAGTCAGGGTCTGAGCTGTACTTCAGTTCAGAGAAACAGCCTATCCAGTCGTAAACCTCATGCTTCGGAGTTTCAGTTGGCCTTCACAGAGGCTGCAGGGATCTGGCTGGTGTTTGCTCGTGGATTGTGAGATGCGGGTGTCCTTGGGTGAACAACAAAGCCCGTGATTTGGAGACTGCAGTGGTTTCACGGTTGACAGCCTGAAAGGTGCCTTTGTCAAATCTCCTCAGATTTCAGAGCAGCCCTACTTTAAAGTTCCAGGTGAATTGTTTAGGAGACCATTATTTAAGAGACATCCTCACTGAGTGATTGTCATACTTCAGTGGTTTCTGCTATGCCCAATAAATCAGACAGTGAGACTGTGGTAATGTTATCAGGGTGAGATGGAAGCACAGTCCCAACCCACTGCACCCACTAATGGGACTAACAGGAACTTGAGCCAACTAGCAGAAGAGTCCTGCTTCCATACTGTACTTCAGTGGAAATTTACCAGCTGTGTGTATTTTAACCACCGGTGTGATGCCCATGACCCCAGCTGTGTCTGCCTGGCTGTAACGACATCTCCCTTCAAACAGCTTCTGAACCCAACCTGAAGTTACGGTCAAGGCTTAAGCAGAAAGTAGCTGAGAGACGGAGCAGCCCCCTGTTGCGCAGGAAAGATGGCCCTGTGGCCACTGCTCTAAAAAAGCGACCCCTGGATGTCACAGGTATGTCAGAGAACAGGTAAGCCCCACCTATTCCACCCCATCCTAATACATACACCCTCCACTCTGAGACCTCTAACAAGTGTGTCAACCCAACACAATTACCTTATGCTAGGCCCAGCCACCTAGAGGTGGGGGACTTAAATGGCTGGCTTAGTTCCCCCAAGGGCTGCCATTGGGCCTAAGTGAAGAATTGTCTTGCCTGGCATTTCAGGGTTATACCCAGAGCTTCTCTGAAGGTGGGTTTAAAATTGCATGTTTCTGCCTGCTTTCTGCTGCCCACGGGCATCTTGAGGCCTTGGAGCCTTCCAGATTGTTCCCCACCAGTGTGCCCAGCTGAGCAGAGGAAGAGCAAGGAGCTCAGCTAGTTACACTTCAGTGAACAAACTGGTGATGGCCCCACCAGCTGGTGGACAAGCAGCAGGATACAGCCCTCCCCACCCCAGGAAGTTCCTTCAAGCACTTTCCTCTTAGGTTAAGTCCTCACCTCGACTGGGCTCATCCCGTCACCGAAAATGTTAGCATCTAGGGAAAAGTAAGCTGTCAGAGCTGACCTAGACGGAGTTCCCACCTTGTAAACACCGTTTGAAGGCCAGGGTTCTAGTTCTTGGTCTGTGAGTAGCACCTGCCCAATTGGTTCATTTGTTTCAGTGAACGTACTAATGTCCCAGGGGAAAACAAAAGGGCTCCTGTGCTGCCATTCTTCAGAGCTAGTACCCAAGTCTCATTTACCTGCCCTCAGGACAGAGGAGTATGTGACCTTCTAGACACAGAGCCAGTGTGAGCCCTCACTCCAGGACTGGCTCATAGATCTTGAATCTGTGCAAAAAAGATCATGCCACTTGTGTACCTGGGGACTCCTGTTTGTCAGTCTTCCTTTCCATGCAGCTGTCTGTCCCCTGATTATACTATAAGATATCTCTTGTCTAGCGAGACCAATAAGTGTTACAACAGACACTCACCTGTCCCTCACTGAGAAATTTAATTGGGAGTTGTAGGGGCACGTGAGTAGATGCTGTTCACACTGGTGTGCAGCCTGGCTGCCTATAGCAGCACCTGGTATGAGCCAGTCCTTGTGCGTGCCTAGGCTCTGAGATTACACTGAGACAGGGTCTCTAGCAGGCTGCTCTGGGTGCCTCACACCTCAATGACTGCTGCTGCTTAATGCTCCTTGAGAGGCAGTTGAGACTGGGCTGAGTGAAAAGAGGTGCAAGACCTGTGGGATCTTGCTGTCTATGTGAGGCACAATCCAAAGGAGATGTCCTGGGGAGGCCAGCATGACAGAACAGGTCATTGCTGAACTATGTTATATGAGAGTCTGCCCTCAAGATGAGGGCAAGGTCAGTAGAAGCTATGCTGGGTATGGAAAGCTGTGGAGAAGAAGATGGCGTCTGAGCTACAGCCTGATGAATAAGTAAAACTGGGAAACAGACTGTGGTGCCCAGGTTACTATAACCACCTGGGCAGCTGCGACAAGAAAGGTGCTCCAATTAGGGCTATTCTCAGGCAACAGAGAGAAAGGGACTCTGGCTAGGGTTGATTCAGGTAGAACAAGGGAACAGCAAAGGTCCTTAAAGAGAGGCCTACACCCTACATGGCGGTCCCTGAATCGGCCAGGGAACACAGGTTCACATGCCACTCTTCCCAGCTGGAATAAAGTTCATGCTGGTTGAAGAGCATAAAGAAACAGCAGTGCTGCCTGGATCAGGGTTCACACTGAGGGCCTCCCTGTCCAAGGGTAGTGGGTGAAATCCTCAAGCAAAGCACCTCTGTTAAGAAGTAACATGGAAGTACCTCTTCATCCCAGGTAGACTCTTGAACTCCCAGCTGGTAAAATCCAGGGAAATACAATCATACCAGAGTGAACTAGTTGGCTTTTGGAGGAGAGGTACAGAGAAAGGATAGACTGAGTCCTGTGCTCACGATCAATGTCTGTGGCATGGTTCTTACCACAAGCACTAGATGCAGGATTCTAGAGCAGAGGTAGGGTGTAGGCAGCTGCTAGATGGTGAGAAGTGGCTTCATGTTACTGGTGAATGACCCAGTCCACAGAGGACCAAGCCTTCCTCATCTGCCAAGATTAATGTGAGGATATCTTTGCCCTAGTGTACTTAAGTCCAGGGCAAGTGAAGTCACTATGCACAGCTTCCTCTTGTGAGTGGGGTGAAAGGGTGTTCTGTTTAGAACTCAAGCCAACTTCCTGCTAGCTCTGGAGAGGTGTGAGCATCTTTGCTCCTTCTGTCTTGCAAGGCTATCATATAGACAAATTTCAGAATCAGCTGTGCAAGAGCCCTGTTAGCTGGGTGAGTGAGTGACTGTGCTCTGTTAAGGAAGGGTATCTCTGAGCCCCTTCAGAGTCCCACTGTGTCCAAGTTTGGGGCTAGACTGATCTCAGAGTGCTGTTGATGATGGACTGATACCTGAACTTTTCAGGAAAGCAGTTTGTGTCTTTGAGAGCTGTTAACCAGATGATGCCATTGTCAAAACGTCCCTGAGCAAGACATCAAAATCTCAGTATATGCCCCGGAACATATAGAGTAGCCAGCCACACAGAGAGGTTGGAGATAGCAGCATCCAGCCCATCGGCAGAAGAGTGATGTGCCTGGCCCTCTGATCAGAGGCAAGCCCAAGACATACAAATATCTGTTGAGACTACTGTGTGATTTCAAACTGCATTGGGGAGCTGCAGAACCCACTGCCTGTGTTTCCTGACTGCTAGGTAGTTGATAGTAAAGTAAGAAGATTGCATGTAAACTGAGCAGTCACAGTAGGTTGCTTTAGTTTGAAATTGTTTTTATAGAGACAATGAATTTGACCTTTTGCTGTTTAAAAAAAAAGCCCGCTGGGCCTTTGTGTTCACTGGTCTTTTGTCTGAATATTACTAAGTGTTTAAGAGCTTGCCTTTCTGATGTTTCAAGCCATCTTGAAATTCAAAAGAGCTGTGGAATGGGTAATGTGTATATTGTGAAGAGCTCAGCCATGCATCCACAGAGCTTCAGCTTTGGGAGGCTCATGGGAGGTCAGCAGCAAAGCCAAGACCGACGGAATCATGTTGCCATCCCTGCTTTGAAATCCTGCCGTTCTGCCTGCCAGTGGGCTAGGAAGCAAAAACCCAGGGAAGCAGTACGGTGCTCTGTCTCTCCAGTGCCCAACCCCAACTTGCTGTTTTTCACCTACAGACTCCGCGTGCAGCAGCGCCCCTGGCTCCGGTCCCAGCTCTCCCAATAGCAGCTCTGGCAACGTCAGCACTGAAAATGGCATCGCACCCACCATGCCCAGCGCTCCAGCTGAGGTGGGTCAGTCACAGACTCACATAGGCCAGACATCCCCACCAGTACTTGCCTTGTGCCTGACTATCCAGTGAGGAGCAAAGCCTAGGAGTACCCTGGGCTTTCCAGGAGTTACTTCCCCATTCTCCTCATCATGGTCTTCCTGAAACATGAGGGCCTCAGTTTCTACCATATTGAGACCTTCTACCTTGTCTTTTCCCCGATCTTTCCCCAGGTATGTCACAGAAGCAGCTGCCACCATACACACTGTGTGCTGAAGCACATGGGGCAAGCAACAGGTGTGTGAGAATGGTTGTAGAGTGAAAAAGACATATTTCAGAAACATACAAATTATAACAGCAAACCGGGTGTTAGAGAAACAAACATTACTGGTGGAAAGGATCACAAATGGAAAGACAGTGGTTTCCAAAGTAGCTTTCTAGAACAGTAGGACCCACATCTGCACTTACTACATACTTCCCATCACTCCAAATCATCCCTGACCCACATGCCTGGCTCAGGATGCAGCAGCGGAGAAGGCTGCTTTCGAGTTTCCCATAAGTGAGGAAGGCAGGCTCAGGCCAGGCTGTGGGGGAAACACAGTTGAGAACTCAGACTGTAGTGGTGCCTCTACAGGTCAGGGTGGAGCAGAAAACCCTGAAACAGACTCTTGGGTTGAACCAGAGCTGCTGTGTTCTGTGTGAGTGTACTGACTGGGACGTTTCTTAGGAGCTCCCAGTTTACAGGAGTCTATTATTATGTTTTTGCTGACTTTGTCATTTAGGAATGAATCTTGCCCTTCCAAAGAGCTGATAGCCTCAGGTGGGATACATAGGCACAGTGCTTAGCATTTTCATTTCGGGTTTCTAGCCCCTTTATGTCTAGAAAGTTAGAAATAAGAGTCACTGCAAGAAGTAAGGTTCACTCAGTTGTGCCTAGGTCCCCTTTACTTTATACTTGCATTTCTTTCATCACTTGTATTCTTTAGTCTTCCAGTTCAGTACTTCCTTGGGTTGCTAGGCATTTTAACAGTCCTTCTGTAGGACTGAGGTCATGACTGAGACCTACCTTGATTAGCCTCAGAGCACAAGCACAAAACTGCTTCCCACCCTCAGATGTTAACTCTGCTTCCCTTTTGTTGGTCATGGACCCATTTACATATATGATGTGGGCATATACATATATGATGTATCACAGTAGTGTAACAGTTCCTCATTCGGGTGGAACACCCCTGCATCAGTTTAAGTTATGTGTTGATCTTTATAAAGCCTAAATATGTCAGTAGATCATCCCCAAGAGCAGTAGGGTTGCCGGTGTTTCACATCACTGTCATTCTCACAGGCAGAACTGGCATTTGAGTACGGGATCAGATATTAGAATTGGAGGAGCTGTAACTGAGGGTCCTCATGTGTGGGGTCCTTTGAGAACCTCAACTGTGTCCCTCTGTGCTCTCATTACAAACTGCATGTGCTTACACTCGTGCAATGTGTGCATAGGTTCTGACCACTAGCCCTGATTCATAAAGGAACCTCAGAACTCCCAGGAAACTGACAAGCCCATCTTATAGCGGATGGAGCTCTGAGGGAATCTTCCTGCAAGTCACCAGTGTGCTCTGCCTGAAGACAGGAGACCCCACACATACCCATGTTTTGTGTGAGCAAGTAAACAGAACCAAGCAGCTCTCTTTAGTTCCACAAGTAAATCAGCTAAGCAGCCATGTTGAGTGCTAAAAGAAATTATACCTTTATAAACATTAGAAGGACTGCTGATTTGTTCTCAGCTTATTACACTGCAGCACAGCCCTGCTTCTCATGACAGCTAAAACATCTTCCCTCAAGTGAGATTTGAAAGTACTTTTATTTTTGAAACATGCAAAGTATGTGCCCACGTGCACACACACCCTTTGATGATTAGTTACATTGTGTATGTATAAACTTTGTTAGCAAACTTCATGGTAGCTAGAGCCCTTGCTCTGTGCCAAGAGGCACATATAAGGCAGCTACCCTCCTGCCTCCTGCCACAGCCCTGAAGCAGTCTAGTGCACAGCTCCCAGGTGGCTCCCAAAGGCATCACAAAAGTCAGGGTCTCTGACATGAGCACTTGAAAGTAGCCATCTGTCCCATTGCAGGAAGGTAGAAATTGCTTTCAGGCCTGGGATGCACACACGTGACCATTGTTCATCAATAACTTTCATCTTATGTACTTTTTTTCTGTCCTAGAAGTGAAATTTTATTGTGCTAAGACCGTTTCTCAGTCGCTGTTATATAGTACACTAAAAGATCTAAGAGATAACAAGATTGTTTATTCGTAGTAAACACCACATAATACCTGTGTATACCTGCCTCAAGCCAGGAACTGGCATCCTGTGGTCTCATTTGATGTTCCTTGAGGTGCCCAGCATGTAGGGATGTTGGAGATAAAACATTGTCCTTCTGAGCAGGTCCTATCCATTTACCTGCAAAGATTGATAGGGCACTCCAGACAGCAGGACCTGTCCCACCCCCTAACCTCAGGCAGAAATAGTATAAAACCTTACTTACTACGTGTAACACTCTGTGTTCACCCCAGCACTAACCATAACCTAACCCTAACTATATACAAAACCTTAACCCTACACTAAGTGTAAATCTGAGCCTAAACCCAACACTACACTAAAGTTCTATACCTAACACAAATACTGACTCTAACCCTGGTCTTAACTCTAAACATAGCCCTAATTCCAATCTTAGCCTAGCCTACCCCTAACCCTAAGCCTAACACTGGCTATAACTGTAGACCTAACATGAATACTAACCCGAACCCTAGCTCTCACCCTAAACTTAATCCTAGCTCATATACTAACCCTAAATGAAATTGTAATCCTGCCTCCAGCCCTAACTCTAAACTAGGTCTAAAACTAACCTAACCTCTAGTTCTAATTGTAGCTCCTGCACTAACTTTATACCAAGTTGTAACCTAAACCTATCCACAATCCTAACCCTAAATTTAGCTCTGTCCCTAACCCCCAGGCCGGTACTAACTCTTAACAACAAACCTAGCAGCCCTAAGCTTACCTCTACCACTTAACACTAACAATAATGACAGAGCAATAATCACCAATAAATAGAAGGAACATCCATTAGAATTTTGATTCCAGTTCCTGATTTCTGTGTGCTGACATGCACAAATCCCTGTGTCTTTTGACTGTGACTGGCATGGCTGAAGTCACATATTGCTGCCATCATGTGACTGCCTGGTGGCTGTCTTCCCTGTGTTTGGGAGCCATTTCCTTAGGACTGTTTCTTAACCATTGCATCCCTAGAGTGGAGCCTCACAATCAAGAACAACTCACCTTTTATGGCTTCCAAACAGATTGCAAAATCAGTCTACAGAGAGTACAGCCATTTATAATCCCACGGCCATGTGTTTCAGCTTTTCTGAGCTTTTAGAAAGTCTGCCAGTTAGATGACTCCGTAAATACGTTTTTCGGTCACTGATAAAATTAAGCATTTTTTTTTTCACTTCCCTTAATATGGGTGCTTTTTGTCGTTGTCTTTATTGAGTTCTGCTCTCATTTTAATTGGTCTCTGGTTGACAAGTTCTTTTTTATTTCAGTCTTTTTGTCTTTCCTGTCCATTGTAGATCCTGTTGTCACCATTATCTACCTCTAAACAAGAACAGGGTTTTTCCTGCTCATCAGTAACTTTGTCCTTGGTTTCTGCTTTTGATATCATTCTTAGAAAAAAATAAAACTACAAAAATATTTTTAAATGCGTTGTCCTAAATCTCCTACTCATAGTTTTTTTTTTCTTTTTTTGTAAGTAGACAAATTGAATAAAAACAAAAAAGGTAGTGAGAGCTCTTTTGGAGGGGGAAAACTCAGGAATGGAAACACTGATTCTATACCTGTGGCATGTTATAGGCCATCGTCTGTGCAGCCTGTGTTTGCACCAGGTACCTACATGTCAGGACCTTATACTCTAAATGTCGTCTGTCTGCCCTTTCCCCATCCTTCCCCATCTCCCCCCCCCCCCCCCCCCCCCCCCCCCCCCCCCTAGATGTGCTGCTTATGTTGAAACATCTGTGGCAGACTCTCACAGTCACGATGTCTTCTGTCTACAGACGAGCTTGGCACACAGACTTGTGACTCGAGAAGGCTCAGTCGCCCCACTTCCTCTCTACACATCGCCATCCTTACCCAACATCACCTTGGGGCTTCCTGCCACTGGCCCTGCCGCTGTAAGTTGGCCTCCAGGGTTCTGTATGACATGGGGTGGATGTCTGCCTCAGTCTCCACAGCCTGAAGAATATTGGGTTGTACCTTTCAGGGTGCAGCAGGCCAGCAGGATGCTGAGAGGCTTGCTCTCCCAGCTCTCCAGCAGCGGATCTCCTTGTTCCCTGGCACGCACCTGACCCCGTACCTGAGCACCTCGCCCCTGGAGCGGGATGGTGGAGCCGCTCACAACCCCCTCCTGCAGCATATGGTCCTGCTAGAGCAGGCACCCACCCAGACGCCCCTTGTCACAGGTAAGAACCACAACCAGGTCTCTGGCAGTTAGTTCGGAGGCTGCTCCTTGGCCTCGTGTAGCTTATAGAGAAGGCTAGAAAGAACACTCAAGCCCACACAACAGTAGTAACTGTGGGTCCCTATCTCAGCTCTGGCAAGGAACTATGTCCTTCGTGCTAAGAAAGCTGACCAAGGAGTAGAAGTCAATGCCAGTACCCCTCTGTTTAGCCTCCTACTCTCTCTCAGACAGGTTTCCCTGCAGCTCAAGGAAGCAAGTTCATGAAGTTCAGAATTGACCAGGCAGACCCTGGTTCTGCTCTATCTTAAGGATAAATACCTTTAGAAAAATACAAGTTAGAGAAAGATAGGAAATGTGTACAATTTACCTAGTGAGTGTGCTGTGTTTCAGAAGTTACGAATGTGGAATGTTTCCCACAAGACACATAACCTACAGTGGCCTTGCCTAGTTCCGTACCATCCTTAGGTCTGTAGGTAACTTCCTCACGGCCATGGCTTCTCTCAGAAGCACAGCCAGAGAAACCCTAGGACTGGCCTGTACGTGTTCCAGTGTTCCCGAGGTCCAGCCTCTGGCTAGTGTTTTGGAGTACCTCCCTCCTGCTGGTATGAGTCAGTCTGAGGCGCTTGGTATTGTGTTCTTGCCTTGTGCTTTTTCATCTCCAGTGTGCATTGGCTCTCCCAAGCCAGTGATCTGGACAGGAACAGCATTTCTGGCTTCTGGTATCTTCTGAGACAGATGGACACCCCTGCCGCAGCTCTGGAGAGCAATGTGTCAGTGACCATGGGTTGCTCATTATGCTCAGGCCCTTCCTGTCTATTCTCTGGGAAGCCGCTCACTGTGGGCTTCATCTTCCCATCTGTGGGTGAGATGCTAGCACAGAGTGATGAAATGGAAAGGCTCAGTTCCCATAGGCAGCATCCTGGTCTGTGTTGGTCTCCTGGTTGATCAACACTGTTCCTTTTGGGTTGGATTTGTGGTTTTGGTATTTGTTTGTCTGTTTATTTATTTGGTCCTTTGTTACTGTTTTGATATTAAATCTTGCTTTGTTGCCCTCAAACTCGGATTCTCCTGCCTCAGTCTGCTAAGTGCTGGGGTGTCAGGCCTGTGCTTGATTCACTTTGAGCCTCCAAACTCTTGGCCCAGCAGTTCCACCCACTCTTCCTAGTGCCCCCTTCCTCCGTGGTCCTGATGCTGTGTCGTACTGGTTTCTTCTGTTCTCCTGGGGAAAGGAGCCTCCTGAACAGGGTTTCTTCTGTTCAGCCATAATTGTCCTTAGAGGCCCAAGTTCCCCATTGCCTAGAACAGCGATAAATGATACTGTGTATAGGGATCAAGCCTGTGAACATTCGAGCCAAAGTAGTACTACAACGTCCCACTACTTATGTGGCCATAGCCGCTCCTCTCAGAGCACTAAGAACAGTGCCCACTGGCAAAGGGGTCAGCTCTTAGCACAGACTCCAGCCTTACACCACAGTCCTCCTCTTGGGCAGACTGACCTGAGGAAGTATGTACTGCTCTGAGCTCACGTCTGTCCACTGTCCTCAGCATGCTGTGTGAGTCATTGCACTTGCCTGCTCTCTATGCAGCTCATTCTCATGCCCCTAGAAGATTTGCCTCCTTCCCTGTGCTGCCCTCCCTTCCTCTCCCAATACCACTCTGTGTTTGATACAAAGTGAAGTCTCCTGTGGTGGAATCCACTGAAACTCCTTGTCTTGACAGTGCCTGGGTGTCTGATGGGGACAGGGTCTTGCTGTCAGTTTGTCTCTGAGTTTCAGCAGGTTGGCTACAAACTGTTCTTCTCTCTGGTAGTTGGGTATTGGGAAGGGGCTAGAACAACCATCTCTGGAACACACGTGACACGTGTGGCAGGCTGATCCTAGGCTGTTGCCACACTTCCTGAGTGCTCCTTGGGCAGAGCTCCTGGAGAGACTGTATCAATGGGATCTTCAAGGGGCCTTGCTTTCAAATTACACTCTGCTCCCTCCGCCCCTGCCCCTGCAATCCCAGGCTCCAGGCTTATGTCCTCTAGCCGGAATTGGACCTGTTTATAGACAATTGTGTTTCATAGAAGGCCATGGGCTGGCAGGCATGTCGTTTTCTCCACTGGTTACTCAACAGCGTCTCTCCCCTCTCTTCTTCCTCTTCCCTTCTGCTGTTTTTTTTTTTCCTCCATATTATCTTCAGACTGGTATCTTTCAGGCCTGGGGGCGCTGCCCCTCCACACACAGTCCCTGGTTGGTGCGGACAGGGTGTCCCCATCCATTCACAAACTGCGGCAGCACCGCCCCCTGGGGCGCACACAGTCAGCACCCTTGCCACAGAATGCACAGGCTCTGCAGCACCTGGTGATCCAGCAGCAGCACCAGCAGTTCCTGGAGAAGCACAAGCAACAGTTCCAGCAGCAGCAGCTGCACCTCAGCAAGGTGAGTCTGCCCAGCTGTCCTCGGGCCCCTCACCTGGAACCAGATGTCATACGCCTTGCTGTCTTCCTCAGCCTTTCCTCCTCCACTGACCTTGAGTGGCTAAAGAGGGAAAGGAGGAGCACAAAGCATGTGCTCTGGTGTGTGGTCCAGAGCCTAGGGAGGTGTGCTGTTGTTTGGAGCCACTGTTTAGGTGTGTCCACAGCCTTCCTCACAGCCCATCTGCATGTCTTAAGTACAGTGGACAACATCCTTGCAAGAAGCCTCGGCATCATTACCTGGAACAATCCACATAGGCAGTTCTTTCAGGGGTTTTCTAGGGTCATTAGCCAAGTAGATCTTTAAGCAAACCCTAACCCGAGGCCTACAACTTTATAATGACATCGAGTCCCTGAAGTGTTGAAATATGAGCGGCGGGGCTGCGTCCCCAACACCCCGGCCGCTTGGCTAGCTCATGCCCGAAATAACAACACACAAACTGTATTCATTTAAGAACTGCTTGGCCCATGAACTCTAGCCCTTACAGGCTAATTCTCGCACCTGGACTAGCCCATTTCTAATAATGCGTGTAAGCACCCCCAAGGTGCGCTTACCGGGAAGATTCTAGCCTATGTCCATCTTCATCGCGTGTGCCTCAGAGAGCAGAGCTATCGCGTCTACCCGGGAGAGCTGAGCATGGCGTCTCTGCCCCAGAGCAGAGCAGAGTCTGACCTCACTTCCTCCTGTTTTCTCCTCCCACCTATCTTTTAACCTATCAGGGCCAAGGAGTTCCTTTATTGCTTAACCAATGAAATCAATCAAGATTGATATATGACACTCCCACATCACTGAAGCTTATTTTTCAAGTCACGTGGCACCTGCAGTCACTTAAATGTAGGAGTTACACCATCCAGAAGCAGCTTGGGACCAGGCAGCCTATAGAGTTCTCTGTGCTCACAGCTTGTCCAGAGTCTCTCAGCTCCATCTACAGGCGGAAGCCATGGGAAAAGTTAGTGCCGTGGTGCTAGCAAGCAGAGAAATGGAGGTTATTTAGTATGTTCCCATCAGATGTATTAGTCGGGTAGCTTCAGTATCAGCTCAGATGAGTGTGTTGCAAACAGCCCAGTAGCTGTCGTCCAGGAGACCACAGACCTCATCTGACTGCTCATAGCAGCCAAATGGTGGATGGAAGATCCCCAGGGTTTATCCTGTGGTGACAGATGACAGTCAGGAAAGTAAACCAGTCATGGATGGACCCTGCTGTGCTTCACTCACAGGAGGTAACCAGGATAGGCAGAGCCACAGACCAGCGGTTCTTAATCTTACTAATGCCGTGACCCTTTAATACAGTTCCTCATATTGCGGTAACCCCTAAACCATAAAGTTATCTCATTGCCTCTTCGTAGCAGTAATTTTGCTACTATTGTAAATCATAATGCAAATATCTGATATGCAGGATATCTGATATGAGACCCCTGTGAAAAAAGGGTCATTCAACTCCCAAAGGTATCACAACCCACAGGAAGAGAACTGCTGTCTTAAGAGACATGAATTAAGTTAGTGGTTGTCAAGACCTGCAGCTTGGGAAATGGGATCAACTGTCAATGCATACAGCATTTATGTATGTATAGGGATAATGAAAATGTCACCAAGTTAGGTTGTAGTGGTGGCTATAGAGTTCTGTAAACTACTCAGCTGTTCAGTTTAAAAGTATGGATTTTAGGGTGTATGAATTACATCTTTTCTCACAATCTGGGGTGAGATACATTCCAGAATACTAAGTAGGTGCCTGAAACTGGGCAGTACAGAATCCTGTGAGCAACAGCCAAACTGAGAATCAAGGTGGCTACTAACCAGTACATTATGTGTGCACTAGGATGGGCGCCCATCCTCGGTGGGCTGGAGTGGGCTAGGACAAGGTTTTATGATGCTAAACAGAATGGTATGCAGCTTAAAACTTAGAAATTGTTTATTTCCAGAATTTTCTATTTAATATTTTTAGATGTTGTCAGGGTCCAAGCCTTCCGTGGGTTGCCTAGGGAAGGTGGGGAAAGGATCAAGGACAAGACTGTCCTGGAAGATGACTGCGTGTGCAAAGGGATCTCCAGTCTAAAGGAGTCTAGAGAGCCCCACAATGATCAGAGGTCCTGATGTCATATATTTCCAGGATAGAGAGAAGACAGGTGGCTCCTGTCCACACCTATCCCACCTTGATCCCTGCTGCAAGCTGAGAGGTCCAAGACTGAGCTGGTCTCCCAAGGAATTTTCTGCAGAACACATGCCCAGCACAGGCTCAGCCAGGCCCCTCCTGCCTGTCAGTCACACTAATATCAGTTTCCCAGCCCCAAGCCCCTTAACCCACAGCCTTTATGCCCAGCACTCTGAGTATGTTAGAAGTTGGGGGCTCCAGGCATCCCATCATTTATACAAGAACGACATTTGCTGGGGGTGAAACAGGCTCCTGCCAAGCGTCTACACTCCCAAGTGTCAAAAACACTTTCATATCCATCTCTCTAATGCCAACCTAGGCTTATTAATTTCATTATGTCACTGCCTGAATGGTGTAGTAGGAGGTTTGAAGACAGGAACACCCATTCACGTGTGACATATTCTTGAAGATGACTTTAGAAGCTGGGTAATCTCACTGGGGTTTGTTACGTGATTGATTTGTGATAGCAAATGACAGTTGATTGAAATGTTTATACAATGTTTTCCTGGGACACCCAGGAAGACAATGATGCTCTCTGTGCTATCTGGCACCAGCGTTCCTGCCTTGCTGTGTGAGAAGCTTGCTCCCTAAGGGCCATCCACTCCCTTCTTGGCACAGTGGAGACCATGGCTGGGCTCAGTGCCCACTTTAAGCCACCATCTTAAAGTACCGGTGCTCTGAAGGTGTGACAGTACTTACTCATTCTAGAATTGTGTTTTCAGCAGACTTTGTGCTCTTTCCCACTTTCCAAGGGACAAAACAGGGCTGCCCAGCTAGCTACTCTTGACTCCTGGAGATTGGAATGGCAGCCTGTGTATCTGACTGGGGTTTGGATCCTGAAATGGGTGCTGTGCCCACATTAATGTGCTTCATAAAGGCATGGTAAGGGAAGAAACCTTCCCAAGGAAGAAGGCTATCTAAGGGATGAGTGCAATGCTCAGCTTGACAGGGAAGCACCCATTTTTCCTGCTGCCTCCAGATCCACCTCACCACAACCTTGTTTTAAAAAGTGGGAAGTTGTGCTCATAAATGTGCCTTCCTCTTTTAGTGGAAAAGTCCCGTTGTTGAAAGCAGTTCTTGCAGCAGTGCTTGGTCTACAGGATCACTTGGTCTTTGTGCAGGCAGTGTTGTCCTTGCGGGGTGTTACTCTCTTTTGATATGAGAACTTGACTTCTGTGGGTGGTCTACCTGTGAGAATATCCAATAGTTTTTAAATACCTTGCGCTTGCCAGTGGGGTTCTGGCTCTGAACTCTAGTCTAGTGTTTTAATCCTGCTGCTCTGGATCTGGTAGTTTGTGTGTTTTCATCCCTTAATAAAACAGGGAACTGATGTCCAAGAGGCCTCTGGACAACAGAAACTGACGTGTTGGTGAGCTGCTGCCTGCCTCCCTGCTGGCTTCTCTTGTCATGTTACCAGAGGCCAGGTTTGCTTCCCAAAGCGAGCTCTGCATTAAGATCCAATCTCTGTGACCACAAAGAAGCAGAGCTAAATTTTAAAGAGGGAGAGAGATTATCCCTGTTTGTAACTGTGGCTCACGAAGACTAGTTGCACCAGCACCTGCGTCAGTGCTGAGCAGAGCAGCCTACCCACTGAAGGCCATGGGCCTCTTCTGCATCATTGACATGGTTCTGAGTGGCCCCCTGTTGCCATGGCAACGTCCCTCATAAATACCCTCTGGAGGGAAGCCTAGCCAAGCTGTGGCCCCTTGAGAGTCTCTCCCTGCTCCCTGCTCCCTGCCCCCTGCTCTAGAGTGTCTGCCTGCCTGCCTATCCACTGCTGCCAAGGCTACAAACCTGACCAGGTGAGCAACCTGTACCCAACTTGGAGAGGAAACAGGAAAACCTCTCCTGGCAGTGGGGGCCAATTCACATATGAGAGAACAAGAAACCAAAGGCAAGAAGCTGAGCCTTCCCAGCATCAGGCATAGCAAATAGAAGAACCCCACAAACGTGTACTGATGTGGACACTCACCTTACCTTTCTCAGAGGCATCCTCCTCAGCCACAGTCAGCCAGCTAACAGGAGCTCCTGTCCAGGGGTTCTATGGGGACATTCCTTTACCTTACATGTCACTTTCAGTGTTTCCTTGATTATCTCAACAGACTCCAGCCTTTGGGAAAGTTGAACGTTGTCCAGTGGGACACTGGAAACTATAACTGAGAAACAGAAGGTACTCAGACTCCTAAATAGTAGAGGGACACTGAAGAGCCATGACACCAGACAGAACACATGGCATGTTCAAGCCAAAAGGGGCACAAAAGTTGTAAGAGTCACCTGTGGGGCTATAGAATAGAGAACCATTGTGGTAGGGGTCACTGGGCTCAGCTGTTCATATAAACGTATTGGAGGAAAGGCTGTCTGTCTGTTTCCCCTTTAGCTGGGATATAGAGGGAAAGGGCCACGTGTGCTCTTCTGACATCTTTCTTCAATGTTGAAGCACAAAAATGATATTGGACAAACCTAGATACGGAGCCTATCTGTACACAGCACACTTGCCCTGCTTCTTCCTTCCAGAAGACACTCTTCCTGTGACATCCTCCACTTGTTATGGCCTACTTTGAACAGTTTTTTTTTTGTTTTCCAAGTGCACCCTAGCATAGGGACCTGGGTTCCAGTCCATCATGGGCTGCTACCCCTGGACACTTATAACCACTTAGAACTGGGCTTTTACAGTAATGACCTGAGTTCCTGAGGGCCCCGTCACCTTGGTTGAGTCAGCCTTACAGAAACAATACCACTTTCCACCTTTCTTCACCCCCCTCCTCCTTCCCTCCTCTGTATGTGGCAGGAGGCAGAGGGAGGAAGTAAAGGCCCCAGTGTATGGAGGGGTGCAGAGGGAAGAAGAAAGGGCCCCAGTCTTGCTCCTAGACTGCTTGAGCATCTGTGCTCTGGGCCCATCTTTCCACCTCTGCCTCTACTAGTACTTCCTGAAGGTAGTTTTCCCCAGTCGCTGTCACCTGTACCCCAGTGCTAGCACTTCAGCCCCTCTAGCCAGACTGTACCTTGCATTTTCTTACTGTTCTTCACCCATGTTCTGATCCCCGTGGTCTGTCTCTGCATTCATAGTCCTGTTGCCACCTTTTACCCCTGTGTCCTGCTGGGCAGTGGTAGCCTGTTCTAGAGCTCCTAGGTTGTTCCCAGCTCCAAGCACCTAGCTTCCTTGTTATTGTCTCGTGAGTTCTGCCTATCCGTCTGTTGTGACTCCCTAGCAATCAAAGCCACCTTCTCCAGGGAGTTTCCTCTGCCATTCAAGATACTCTGTCCCTTCTGTCCTTGCCATAGCACTGACCTGAAGGATGCAGTCTCCACAAACTTGACATCACATACCTGGTTCACCTCATGTTCCTAGTTAGATTGCATCTGGTATTGGGAAGAGTGGGGTGCAGGAAAGATATGCTGCCACTTCCCCCACCCAGAGCCAGTTTTTGTTGAAGCCTGCTTGCCGAGTCTTTCCCATCAGCTGGGGAGAGGCTTGACAGCTCACTAGGTTGACATGGGCTTCCCTAGCTTTTTTGAGGCCGTTTACAGTATGCTGATCTGCATGTGTACAGTATGGCATGATCTCAGCCATGCCAGTTAACATGTCTGGGACTTCATTCAGTCGTCCTGTTGTATGTATGTGCATACTCAGGATGCTTAAGGTACAGGACAGATGCCACTGTCACCATACTATTTCCCACAGACCTCACCCATCCTGTAAGGAGCAGTGCCCTGTGGCCAGTGTCTCTCTGCCTTCCACCTCTGCCCTTGTGTCTTAGGGCTTTGGAAATAAGATCTCTAACCTGCTAGGTTTTCAGAACGAAACTGGAAAAATCTTGCCTACACGGCCATGTGGTATCTTCATAAAAGTTTGCTGGGGAGCTTGGCACATGTTTCTGACAGGGCACCACCAGCACTGCTTCCCGCAGATTGATGGTATACATCCTGAAGGTCCTTCCAGTGTGGGACATCCCTAAGCTTTCAGAAGGCAGCTTCTGAGAACTTCTCTCTGAGCCCTCCCAGTTCTGCCCTAGTTTCTGAGCATGGGGTACTGGATTTCTGCCTCTGTTGCCCTTCTCCATTCTGACAGGCAGCATCTGGGGAGGCTGTTGCTCTCAACAGCTGTGGCTGTGTGACTGACACTGACCTCTCTCTTCACTTCTACTCTCCTCTGCAAAAGGAGCTGCAACCTGCAGCCTCTCTTAGGCCTAGCACACAGAATCCCTGCATAAACACTGAACACCTAGTACCTGGCTTCAGGCCACTTTAACCTTAACTCCAGGCATCACTTCCTGTGCATCTGAAATGATGCTGGGGTCCTTGTGGTGTGGGTAAGTGGTGTGGGTAAATGGTACTTGCCAGCCGTTGGTCACATAAGTTCTTGGTACAGCATTCTTGTCCTGTGATGTATGGAGGAGCTTCTTCTAGTCACATGACTGTCCTAACTTCCTTTGTCTCCCCTGTGTTGCAGATGATCTCCAAACCCAGCGAACCACCCCGGCAGCCTGAGAGCCACCCTGAAGAGACGGAAGAGGAACTCCGTGAACACCAGGCCTTGCTGGATGAGCCCTACCTAGACCGACTCCCTGGGCAAAAGGAACCTTCCCTAGCTGGTGTCCAGGTGAAGCAGGAGCCCATTGAGAGTGAGGAGGAAGAGGTGGAGCCCACTCGAGACACGGAACCCAGCCAGCGCCCAGCCACTGAGCAAGAGCTGCTCTTCAGACAGGTGTGGAATGAGAGCAGGCAGCTGACTCGGCTTTTCCTTCTGTCCACTGAATCAAAGACACTTACTGTTCTGCCTTCACGGGCGGTGGGGTGTGTTTCCTGACACTTTCACGTACATCTCTGAAGGCATTCATGTACCTTCTGGAGCGTATGGGCCACACAAAACATAGGCGGCTGTAGCTTTAAAAAAAAAAAAAAAAAAAAAAAAAAAAAAAAAAAAAAAACATTGGTGGGATTCAGCCTAACCAGTAAAACTGGAATGGGAGGTTGAAGTGTTAATGAAAAAGGAGCTGGGTGTGGTCATGTATGTATGCCTTTAATCCTAGGACTGGAGAGTCAGAGTCAGACAGATATGTGAGTTTAAGGCTAGCCTGGTCTACATAGTGAGACTATGTCTCACAAACAAAGCAAAGAGTCAGGGTCTGCTCAGCAGAGAGGACAGTGAGGTCTGGGACACAGTACAGAATAGCAGACCGCCAGAGACAGAAGATGCTCAGTGAGTGACTGTTGATTTGCAGTGAAAAATAAACTGGCACTTGTCTAGAAAGAGACTAGGGACATTTGGACAGGACATGAGAAGCCGTGGATTAGAAGCCAGAGAACCCTCAGGCTGCTTTTGCCTCAGGAGTGATAGGTATGCCAGGGGATCCAGAGTCATGGACTCTAGTTGTATTCCCAAGAAGCAGTACTTGATGCCTGGGTACTATTCTAGGGCATATGCCCCTGCTTGCTGGACTTCAGGATTCTCCCAGCCAAGCCCCTCCTCAGTCCCATGGCTCTCTAGATAAGGCAGCCACCAGTGCTTCGCCGTAGCATTTGGTAATGCCAGAAAAGCAAGGTTCTTTCAGCAGACACCTATTAACTTCCATTCTCATAAGGTCCCTAGAACAAGGAGGTAGCACCCACAGCATGAGGGTGGCTTAGATTCTCCTGAATATCTACTTTGGGAATCGGTCTCGTAGTCTGTCCCCAGCACCCAGCTCTATGGTACTTTTCTCTATCTTGGGCATGGGTGACCTGTTTGGTTCTGGGAATACTTAGCTCCCATCATATAACCACCCTCTTTAAAGTCTAATAGAATTAAAAGGGTGAGAATACCATGGGTCTTATGAGCCAGGAACCCAGGAAAATCAGTGGCTAGGACTGTCTACTGCTCCAAGCTGATGAACAGAAAGGGACTTGGGGACATGTTTGTCATGTCTGAAGTAGACCCTTAGAGGAAGCCAATACCTACTTGCCGTCGTTGAAACCAGTATTCTTTTACCACACAGATTAAGTCAGGATATTTCAGTAGCTGCTTTGGGGACTGGTCTCTTTTAGACACCAGCTGATCCAAGCATGAGACAGTCCTTAGGATCCTTACTTCCTGTGTTCTCTGGAGAACCAGTGAAACTCCTTCATGGGACCTTGGACACAGAGTAGTTTGTGGAAACGCACAGAGGGGACATTAACTCCTTAATGGTCTGATGTGACCTGGGGAGGCCGTGGGCCTTCCACTTCTGTGTGGGTATTTCTGGCCCTCCTACAGGAGGTGCTCTGCCTCCCTACTGTGGCCCTCATGTCTGCAGCTCCCCTTCTGTCTGCTGAAGGCTTTACATGCTGTAGGTAAAGTTCCCATCCTCTGCTCACAGCCCGGAGCTGTGCCCTGCTTCTCAAGAGTGGGTATTTTCAAGGCCATAAGATCTGTCCATCAAATTGGACTTGGGGCGAGGTTTGTGGAGGTGGTGGGAGTTGGACTTCCTTTTTAACATGCTGCAGTGGCATGGGATGACATGGTTTTCTTTTTCATCTGTCTCAGGGCCCTAGAAAGTGACTTCCTCTGTTCACTACAGAAGGAGCAGCCTCTGGGCGGGTCAACTTTGGGAATCTCATCTTTGACTCACTCCCCACAGCTGGTTCACTTCCCACTGGACATGTACCTCAGCCAGTCCCCAGAGTCCCCATCAGGGTTCACATCCCTCGGGTAGCAAATCCCCTGAGTGGTGATCCCACACTTTACAGCTACCCTTGTCAACCCAGTCCTCTCTCCTGGGCACCTGAGCCCTTAGCGTGTCTCATTATGTCATCTCCCCCACCCTAGTTCTGGCCTTCCTAGCTTGAGAATGCTAGAGTGGTTTGAGGCCAAGGCAAGGAACACATCAGACATTATAGAGCTGGCCCTTCTGTACCTGTCTTTGCTCTCTTGCTGAGTTTGGCTCACAGAAGAAGAACCTGTGGAGGGGTGGCAGTATGTCTTCACTGTCCCATTTTCACTATGGTCAGAGTGACTCCCCTAGCCGAGGACCTGAACCCTGTCTAAATATCAGCCCCTCCACCACTGCTCACCGTCTCTTTAGAGAACACTTCCCAAGCCCCTCCCTGTAGGCCTTTGAGATGGCAAGTCCCCTCATCCTCTTAAGCATGGCCAGTGTGCCAAGTGCATTCTCTGTGATCCCACTCAGATCATGGCCCATGGTTAGGAGGCATGCGTCCATGGTTAGTTGTCCCACAGTGCAGAGGCCTGTCATTGGCTAGGGGTGACTGAGTACTAAGTGTCACAGACTGGTGGGAAATGTTCTGCCGCTAACAGCCCTCTATCTTGCCCCACAGCAAGCTCTCCTGCTGGAGCAACAGAGGATCCACCAGCTAAGGAACTACCAGGCATCAATGGAGGCTGCTGGCATCCCTGTGTCATTCGGCAGCCACAGACCTCTGTCCCGGGCTCAGTCCTCCCCAGCATCTGCCACCTTCCCCATGTCAGTCCAGGAGCCCCCCTCCAAACCAAGGTTCACCACAGGTAACTTGTAGCCTCTTGCTGGCAGGGGGAAGCAAGAGGACAGGGGCAGTCTGGAAGTATGGAGCAAGCCACTGATGAGAGGCTAAGGGAGCAGCCTACAGTTGAATCTGGGAAGAACCCAGGCCACACTGTCCAGAGACAAGCAGCCAGCGCCATGCCAGGCCTGAGAACCCCACTCACTCATGGGAGCACACTACAGTGCTGTGATTCTGGGGCTGGCCACAAGCTCAGAAAACCACCTTCTCTTTTCCTGCAGAAAGCAGTCCCACCTGTGCCAGCGCAGAGCTTCCCACTTCCCATTCTTAGCAGCAGTAGCAGTGTTGGTCTTCTGCAAGTGTCCCCTAAACCAAACCCAGGACGGCAGCATTGCCCCCAGGCTCCAGTGACACCCTGTACAGTGCTTAGAGAAAAGCTCTGCTAGAGCAGAACACAGCAAGATCTGGGACTAACTGGGCCTCTCTCACCTCTGGCATTGCACCTGCCCTGTGGGTTGTCAACAGTGTCTCGGTGGCACCTTAGCAAAAGGTCCAGAGGTCCGGAACAAACTAAGCAGAAGTGTGGACCACAGTTTCATAGAGGCAGGGACAGAAAACTATCCCCACAAGATAGCCACACCACGTCTTCCAGTAGTTTCCTGTAATGACAAGCAGGGAAGCTAGGATGGTTCTTCATAGTGTTTTGATTTAACATTTCTTTCTAATGAAGAAAAATTATGTAAATACAGAATGGCTTCACAGGTCTTACAAAATGTCTTCCTGCAGTACACTGCAACTACAGCCAAGTTCTTTTCTTAGAAGGAAATTTCCTGTTAAGGGAAACATTTCAGTAGTAATACATAGAAATTAAAATTACTTCAAAAAAATTAAAACTGCATTTCATAAAACTCACCAAGTTTTCAGTCCATGAGCTGAAATTAATATGTCCTCAAAGGACTGCAGCTCAGATAAGGGAAACTCTGTCATGAAACCTTGGTGGCAACTTGCATGTAAACAGTGTTTATTGGCTAGTGGCTAGTCAGAAGAGACCTTCCTATCTGTGCCATTCTGTGAAGCCACTCATGACTGACAGACTTCTGTGGTCCGCAGCTTCTGAGCTGTGTTCATATACTTGCTCATTTCAGACAGGCATGTTTATGTATCTCACATATGGAACCCAGCTCCCTTTGTATTCCTATGTCCATCTTGAGTGAACCCATACATGCCACCATTTACCTTGTGTCCAGCTGCTCTGGACGTTATCTGTTGGCAAACCACAAAACTCATGCTGGCCTGGACCATGTGGTAACCTTGGGCAATGTCTACCCAACAGACTTGCTAAATGCAGAGCCTAGTCAATGACCAGGCAGACGGCCTTGAAGGGCCAACACCTGTCATTACTAGAATTCAGCATAGCCCAGGGCTACCAGACCCCGACCCCTTCTCACCTTTTATTCCGTAACTTTGCCCAATCCCAATGATGCAGCCATAGTTTTTCTAAGCTACAGTGTTGAACAATGCTGGGTCTCTCATTCTGCTTGTATCTAGATCCTCTAGTTCCCACTTGAAAAGGGGATAGGGTAAACTTGAACCAAGAACCAATTCTCCTCCTGGGAATTCTTCTGCTGTCCAGGGCCGCCTTCTGGCATTGACTGGCTCAGCCCTGGGCACTGCTCTGACTTCAGCTCTGCTCCACTGCAGGCCTTGTGTATGACACACTGATGTTGAAGCATCAGTGCACCTGTGGGAACACCAACAGCCACCCGGAGCATGCTGGGAGGATTCAGAGCATCTGGTCCCGCCTGCAGGAGACTGGTCTCCGTGGCAAGTGTGAGGTATGGGGGTCTATCTAAGGTGATAGAGGAACACCCATTGCCTTTCTTGCTCCTGGACATGGCTTCCAGCCTGCTCTATTCACAGTGTCTGACTGTTTTCATGTTACAGTGATGGAGAGAATCCAAGAAACATTGCCTATGTTTCCTCGTCCCCATCCATACTGTCTATGGGTTTCTGAGAAGCCCATCTTGGCACCTTTGCTGTTGTTGTGATAGAATACCTGAGGCTTGTGCTTTAATAAAGCAGAGAGGTCTGTTTACCACAGTTCTGGTTGGTTCCAAACCAAGATACCAGCATCTCACGAGAATGCCTTGACTAAACCACAACTTGACAGAGAAGCAGAAAAGAGACTGCTGTGTAGGCCGGCCTTTCTCTGTGACAACTTGTTCATTTGAGAACTAATTTAGTCATAAAGGCCTGAACCTTTATGACTTCTAAGGGTGAAGTCCCTGTTTCCCAGTTACCTCCTATCAGAACCACCTCTTGCTGGACCCACAGTACCAACACTACCAGATTGGGTGTGTAGCTTTTTTTCCATGAACCTTTGGGGCTTCCTATGGCAGAGTCCAAACTGTTTTCCTAAGATTCTGTATCTTCTACAGAAGCTAGCACCATGGGCTGTGCTCCTCAAACCCACAGTGCCAGGCTGCTTCCCCATGGCTGTCTCTGCCTTCTTCCTAGTTACTTTTCAGCATGCTCCTGTGACTGGCCAGTGTGTACATCCATACTTCTGCAGTGAGAGAGGGGTTCAAGACTCGGGGAAAATGAGCCAACTTGTCCCGTTAGTCCTATCAGCTACATCAGAAAGCCTCTCTGAGGACGTGTGGAGGGCTTGGACCTTTTCTTCCTCAAATGTTAGGTTCTGCAAGGCAGTGGCCAGCGTGGAAAGTGCCTTCTCCCCCACACACACACCACCACCCTCCCTCTGTCCCCCAACCCCATTAGCTTTGCCTCTGGTTCCTTTATGCCAGCCCCAGGGATCTGTGTAGGAAGGCTCTAATAGGGTTGTCTCTCTAGGTGTGGTCCTCAATTTTCCTAGCTGCCATGCTTGCTCTCAGAAGGTCTCCCTATCTGCCAGTGGGGTTCAGGTTTACCCCACATTTGGCCACAACAGAGCTGGTCACATACAGTATGGCTCTGGCCAAGATCATGTTGAGCCTCTTCTGGTTCTCCACACATGGCTCAGCAGGATGCAGTCCCAGGTCCTGTGCACTCAGGAGTTCTAAGCTGAGGAAGAAGGATAAACTTGTGTAGGGCATGGCTCTGCTCCTGGGAGCTCATAGGCTCAGATGGGCCTTCCCATCTGTGCAGTAGGACTAGCATCACCCACAGGATTGCCTTCAGTACCTGCCAAGGGAATCTGCTATGACCTCTCTTCAACTTGAAAACCCCTTCCATGTCATTCCCCCAGATTGTCCTACACATCAGCATAGGATAGGGCACAAGGAGGCTCAGAGGCACTAGCAGGAGCCCCGTGGAGCAGCAGTTACTTGTTTCCTCTCTGTGAGCCCGACTGCCCTCCTGTATGCTCTGCAGTATTCATTTACATCATCCCAGGGCTCATGGGTCCCCAGTGTCCCTTACCTCTCAAATTGTACTTCACTTTTGGGGACAAACCAATATCAAGCCCACACCTGCTCCTGATGGCCCTCTGTGTGGGAAATGAACATTGAGGGGTGAGGTGAGGCGCCACAGGTACCTGCTTTGGGAATCTATCCAGAATGCTATGCCACTGGGGGGCAGCATTGACCTGTGTACACAAGCCCTGAGAAAAATCCTCTTTCCTCTCGTGCTCCAGCTGGCCCTTGCATCCTGCCATCCTGCCCATCCAGATGCTGCCCTGAGGCATCCTTCAGTTGACAGCATTCACAGATGTCTTGCCCCCTCCCAGGAAAGTATATTCAGGCACGAGTGTGAGACAGATTCTCAGCTAAGAAAGCAAGTAGAGCTGGGCTGGTTTGAGAGTATAAATATCTGAGAAAGCAGGATAGCCACCCAGCTCACCTTCCGTTGTACTGTCATAGAGATGTGAGAGATATTTGCCATATCAGGGCCACTGGCAGAGGATTTTTAGATGTCAGTCTATGAAGTCAGAGCAGAGTTGGCAGGAGCTTCAGGAGATACCGGTAGGCTAGGACAAGATGGGGCTTAGAACCATTGGCAACAGTAAAAACACTGACCAGCTTCCTAAGTGTAAGTACTGTAATCCCAAGCATGGGAAGCTTACCTTGTCATCTTTTTGTTGTGCAGAGGAGCTATTCCTTAATTCAGCCCAAGAAAGCAAGCTTGCATCCACACCAGCTCTCCATTGTCTGGCTTGTAACCTGAGTCCTAGGCCCTTGTCATTAGAGTTGATATCCAACACAGAAGTCAAGTAGATGATGCTATGATATCCCATAGACTCCCAACCACTGACTCTGAAACTAGAGCTTGGACTGTACCTCACGCTGGAGGGCCTGTGGGTGGTCTCACCCCATGAGTGGTGTGAACTAGAGAGAGGTCTTCTCTGTAGGCCCAGGCCCCTCTGCCAACCTGCAGAATCAGGGCCATACAATATTGGTTTAGGTTCTTTACCATGTAGGTCAGCGCCTGCTGGACCAGACAAATGGTCAGGAAGAGGAGAGCAGATCTGTTGTCAACAGCTTGTTGAGTGATGAGGACTTTCCTTTGCCTGACCTCCAAGGAGCCCTTTCCCTATAAAATATTTGTCTGTTTCATAGCCCCCCGGCCAACTAGATTAAGTGATTAACTCAACTGAAGGGCAGGCACTCATCTGCTGATTTGAAGGTAGCCCAGAGTAGATGTGGTGATATTACAATCTGCAGAGGAGCACAGCACTCCTAAGCACCTTCCAGTGCAAGCACAGATTCCAGTGTGTCAGCCGTGGGCAAGAGCGGGCCACAGAGAGCTGCTGTTGAGGGACACTAGAGCAATGTCTTGAGTCCTTTGAGAATGAGCTCAGGCAGCTTGCCTCACCTCTGACACTTCTTGCTGTGTTAAGCCCAGACCCTGGTTCCAGAAAGCAAAGTAATAATTTGTTGAAAATCATATGTGTGATAGTGAAGGGTAGCATGTTGAAACCTAGAATCATTTTTAAATGTTTTTCAAAGCTATGATTAAAAGGCAAGCCACCTAATATACTTTTAAAGATTGTGTTAGGAACTGTTTTGTTTCTGATTTTCAATAATCTAATAATTATACGCCCATCGTCATAACCGAACTGTATTCCCTCTGGCGCAGTAGCCTTGCTGAAGTAGAAAGTGACCTGACATATTTGTTCTTACCTTATGTCCCTACAGTGCATCCGTGGACGCAAAGCTACATTGGAAGAGCTGCAGACAGTGCACTCGGAGGCCCACACACTCCTTTATGGCACAAACCCTCTCAACAGACAGAAACTGGACAGTAAGAAACTTCTAGGTACTCGAGACCTTCCTTACATCCCTACCAGGCTTGATCTCCTGCAAGTGATGTTTCTACCCTTTGGCCCCTGTAGCTGGGCTACTGTGTGGCTGACCAGGACAGGAAGGCTGGATCTACAGTCCATTCTGGAAGCTGCTCAGGACTGTGTGAGAGCAGGAGTGTACAGTCCTTGTCCTGTTTGCAGTTTTTTTCTTAAATCTCTTAGGGAGAGGCTGAGAGGACATGGAGAGCCCCAGGCTTGGCCATGTTCTGAGTAGCAGAAATCTATTCTACCTCACCACCGGGGTCTTTATCCAATAAAAAGTAGGATTTGACAAGCTGTGCGACCTACATTGCCCATATGGTTTACCCCACAGAACCCAGCAGCTTTGTGGTGACTTTTGCAGTGATCCAAGATGGCAGACAGTAGGGATAGGACAGAGCTAGGGTTAGTGCTTTTTGCCTTGGGACTCTGACTTCAGGTCATGGTTTAACAATGGGGGTTCTTGAGATGCCCAAAGTCCATCTCCCACCTACAGTCCCCAAATGGGCCCCATGTGTGCTCACTTTCACCCTCAGAAAACAGGGGACTCCCCCTGCAGGAGCTTGGCCAGTTCAAAGGACTCTAACACTGAGGGTTCCCAGCAAATAGTATCCTCATGTTTACAGAGCTATTGCCCATCCGAAGCTGCCAGTGTAGGCTCCACATGAGGTCAGGAACAGACAGGACAGTGCTTGCCAGGCAGCTAGAGACTAAGGCTGTACTTAGTGTCCTCGAATTGGGAAGATACTATGAACAAAGGTGAAGGAAGAAGTGTAGGTCACTTGAACACTAGTCCCAAGCTTGTGGCCCGCACTACTCCACTAAAGCCTACTTGTGCATGGATGTCCTTCTTTGTTAGGACATTTTCCCCACACACTATACACATCCCCGTTCCCCAGCAGCCATGCTAGTGACTGACTCTGTTGCTGTACCCTGTGTCTTTGTGGTAGCCATGTGAGGTCCTCACTTGGTGTCCTTTCCCTCCTGGCTAAGCTTTGCCCTTTCACACTGTGGGAGGTACCCAGTCTGTCACTGCCTAACCCCTCAAGACCCCTGTTTAAGCTTCTACAGGGTCCTAACAACAGATCTTCACAAACATCTTTGGCCGAAGTATTTGAGACATAGTAATAGCAGTTACCCCAAGTTCTGTTAAAGTAGCCCTAGTTAGATTTGTAAATACTACTTTGATTTTCTTTCCTTTTTAAATCCAATCCACACATTTCTCTTCCATGTACAAAGACCCTTTGTAGTTCTTCCCTGAAGTGAATTGCCGTTGTGGTGGGCAGTCACCTTCCCTAGAAGCAAGGGGGCACCTAACAGTCATGATGAAGAAAGGCCCGGCTTGGGTCAGCTGTAAAGCTGTCAAGGCAGACCTCTGAAAGACCGGCTGCCACAGAGTGTGCGTTGTCTGTCTTACCCATCCACATGCTGAAACATCAACTAGCACTCTGCTGGGAGCAGACCAGAGGGCCAGACTTCAGGAGTGTTTTTGCAACCTGACTTAGTGGTTATGACCTCAAACTGCCAACAGGTAGAGCTAGGCTGTGGCCTAAGCTGGGGTGAAAGATACTCAGTCTAGAACAGGGGACCCTTGGATACAGCTTATGATGGACATAAAAGCTCTTGTCATGAGCATCATGCCCTGCCTCCTATTCAAGTGTGCTCTCTGTGCTTAATATCTAATAATGTTCCTTTTTCCCTCTTCACTGGCTGGAAATGAGCATGAAAATATTCCAGTGATTGACATCTGGAATGTACATGGCACTGACTCTAGTTTCAAAGGGAAATGCACTTTCATAGCCTTCGCCACCACATAACCAATGTGAATTTACTGAAGAAAGTCTCAGGTTCCTTTCTTGACATTGCACTGCCGTACCTTTGTTAGAATGAGGGGTAATAATGAAAGTGCTGTCTCTCATGCCTGGCTGATTCCAACTTCAGATGCCAGGTGCCCTGTGCAATGGCTTCAGTCTGTGATACAGACCTATAATGGCTGCAGTTGAACAGTACACAGTGAGCAGGTGCAGTGTGGCTTGTAGTCCACATCCCTCCTTCCCAGCCTTTTCCCAAAGGTCCAGACTTTCCCTACCTACCCTATCCCCATTCCCTGAATGGATGTCATCTTTGGAAAGGATAGCTACCATTTAAGACACTGATTTGACATGTTGCTTCTCTGTATAACTCCCCTACATATCTGCCCCTGAAGATTTCACTCTGCTGCAAGAACCTGTGTATGCAAAGTTTAGAGCATTTTTACCTGCTGCCCACCTGTCACTGAAGGAAAGATGTATTTAATCTCCCTGTTCTGCCTCCCTTATTTGTATGTGCAAATAAGGACCAAGCCCTGGACCTATGCTATGAATGCTTAGCTGTTTGAGGCAGAAAGGCAGGGGTGATAAGAAGGTGGCCTCGGTAGGACCCAAGAGTCCTAGCCTTCAAGAAACAGTAGGAAACGGAAACCACAACAGTGCTGTTTCCTCAGCATGAGTTGGGAGGACTGATAGTGGCAAGGAATATGCAGGTATGGCCTTATTCCTGCATTGCCCATAGTGGCCCAGTGCCCCCAAGTAACAGGCCAGGAATGGGCTAATTTACTGAGATCCATACTTGGACCTTCAGCCAGACATGTAGATACATCGAACTTCTCCTAACTCTAAGATCTTCCAGCACTTATGGAAGAGGTTTTGTGCTTTAGCAGGAATACTATCAGGTATACACAAGCTTCCCTGCCCACAGGTTCTCAAGGCAGAGTGATGTCTGGATTGTGCAGGTCTCCTGGGAGGCCCACCCACCCCCTCCTGTGGCTGTCTAACCATGAAAGCCTGCTCCCTCTCAGGCTCTGGCAGAACCACTCTCCTTGTACTTGTTGCCTAGTGGTGGAGCCTTGCAGGGGAGCCAGTGGAACAAGAACCATCTTGCACTCACGGATCCAGTGCTACCCTGATCTGACCCTCATCTTCTCCCCACAGGCTCGCTGACCTCCGTGTTTGTCAGGCTCCCTTGTGGTGGTGTTGGGGTAAGTATTTCTTTAATGTGTAAATAATGTCCTGTTTGTTCTCAGAGCCCCAGTGGTCACAGAAATCATTGCCTTGCTCTCTCGAGTGGGTAATGGCTGCCAGGTGTTTTCCATAAACAGTACTACGGGACAGGCGGGGGCCATGTGGGGCTTCAAAGGAACTGAGAGCTGGGAGCTTTTTTTTTTTTTTTTTTTTACCAAACTCAGGCACCTTTTTGAAGGGAAGGTTGTCTGACAATGCATCTGGAGCCCTGCTAATCCTCAGTTCTTGTGCACCTTATGTGTAGACTGCCTTGGAACATCCTCAATAGCACTGTGCTCGTGTTCACACAGGCCACAGAGGCTTTTTGGGGAAGAGTGGGCTTGTTCTGCACCACTTACTAACTTGTACTCCAGATAGAGTTCTCTGTAACATGTCCATGAATCAGGTGACATTATCTGCTTTGTGGTTGATAGCCATTTCTATAGCCAGGTGAAAAGAGCAACTCGTCACTTGGGAGACAGACTGAGACACACAAGTGGCAAAGAACTGGCCATCAAAGTGTCTACTCCAACTGCACAGACAGCCCTTAGTTTCTGTCGCCACACTGGCCTCAGGAGATAGAGGTTCTGCTGTATTCCTGTCCTCTGGGATGCAAGAATGGGACCAACCCTCCATTCTGATCTTCTGACCCTTCAAATCCCACTGCACCACTGTGTGTTGGGCCAGAGTTGTCCAGGCCAAACCTGTACCATGTTTGATCACAGATCCTGGGGTGAAGCTGAGGTCTGGATTCTGTTATGGAAATGAAACAAAATTGTTTTCTTCCTGAGTCTTTACAGAAATCGCTGCTTTGAAAATTGTCCCGTCAGAAAGAGAATCGATGGCATCTATTCATACCACCACCAAGCCCTCCTGGAGTTACTTTGTTTTGTATTGTAAATAGGCTGCAATCTCTTAATTCGGGGCAAATTTTTGGCCCGACTTGAAAAGATTTGGATTTGCACTGCCCTGCAGCCAGAGAGCCCTTTGCAAGGCAGCATTTATAATTTGCAAATGAAAACTAAATGCAAGCTTAGATCTAGGGGCAAACCTGGGCAGTCTCCTGCACCACTAGCCCCAGATCTGAGGTGCAACAGGCATGCCAGATGCAGACACACTGCACAGATGTAAGTGGAGCCAATGAAATCCAGCCTGGAAAGGGGAGTTGGGATTTTCAGGTCTTTCGCATAGGTTCTGAGGCAGGAAAAAGGCCTACAGGCTCTGGCCTGAGTAGACTAAATTTTCCTTCTAGGGCCAACCCACCGGTGTGTCAGAGCAATGGGAGAACTGTGTAGGGTGTGTAGGATGGGGAGCAGGCACCCAAAGGCAGATCCTCTGTCCCTAGAAGCAGCTTTCCATTGCCATCTCCTTCTTGTAATATTTCTTTCAGAGTTGAAATCCTTCCTTAGCTCTGTTAAGGTTTGAAAATAGTTTCAACCATTTTTTCAAACCAAATAAAAACACTCCTGCATTTGTTCACCTCATTATTGTAAATTCCAAACTAGTAAGGACCTGTGTTCTTGACTTTCCCTGCTCCTGTCCCAGCCCTGCCTAGGACCTACCCTCCCACTTGAGCCTCCTGATTCCCAGGACTCACCCAAATTTGCCACGTGCTCCATTATTGTTATTCAGTTTTCATTTCCCAGGTGCATCTGTGTTTCCATTTCACCTATGTCTATCCTTCCTGTAAAGCGCTTTTCTATAGCTCCCATTCCACATTCGCATCACCACCCTGACTAAACAGGGCTGCCCCTCGGTACCACTTCAAGGGAAGCAGCTGGACAGACACTGGAAGAAAGTAGCAGGGAAGTCTTGTTCAAGTCTTTGCAACCTGGGCTACTGTAGTGGGGATTGTCCGAGGGTTCACCCCTTCCTCTGTGAAGAAGGGGGCTTGGCCAGACTACGACACTTACCTCTAATGTCCAGAAGCGTACAGATAACAGAAAGCCCTGGAAGATCAGGTGAATGACATGCATAGTCCCTTCCCCAAGTCTTAGCCCAGGTCTAAAGCCAGGCTCCCTCCTCACACTTGGGAAGGAAATGATCACTGAGCTCATACATAGCCTTTGACTTGACTTGAACTGCCCAGGACACTGCTGCCCCCTGGACTGATGAACTGTCTCCTGCACTGTCACCTTTGATATTATAATGAGCTGATAATGATTTGATTCTCCAGCCAAAGCTGGTCTTCGTAGGACCACAGGCCACTGTCTCAACTTTGAATAGTGATGCCTCCCAGAAGGTCATCCTTTGGCATTTGGGAGCTCTTTAAAGAACATAGCCAGGACTAAGTACCCCTGTCAGTGAAGTCTAAACCCATACAAAGGAGTTTGAGGTTGTCTGTCTCTGAGAGTGAAGCTTGTGGAAAAGCTGAAAAGGGTTGCTCCTCCCACTGGTGATCAGTGTCTGTCAGTTAAAATGGCGTGGAAGGCCCAGGTGGAGATGTAGAGAGGTGCTTGTGGGTCTGGATTCCCAGCTCTTTGAGTGCTCAGAGGTGCTGTATGTGAGCATCTGGTAAACCTCAGATTTAAGAAGTTAAACAGCTTTAACTTCTTAGCCAAGCAACACTCACCCTACTCCCCCAGGCTATAACTCCCTGGCAAGACCTAAATCTCAGTGTATCTGGTCCAGGCCCCATGTATCCTCACAGGGCACACATACATTGACAGTTGTTCTGTGCCCTGACATTGCAGCCCTTTAATCCCTGCCTAGACTCCGCTTTGGGCTTTCCTGTAGACCTAGTAGTAGGAGTTCTTGTCTTGTTCCCCACTAGCCAAACCTTAAAAATACATCCTCCTGGGCCTGCAAGATGGCTCTGCAGGTAAGGATTCTTGCTGCCAAGCCTGACAACCAAGCTTAATCCCTGAGATTTATGTAGTGAAAGGAGGGAACTGACTCCTTTAAGTTGTCCTCTGACCTCCACAAGAATTTACTTTCATGTGTTCATACCATGTACACACACATATTCCAATGTAAGCTTTAAAAAACTGTAATGCCGTCTCCTTTGCCCAGGCCAGTAGAGAACTGGCTGGCCTGCTGCTGTTTGAAGTGGAAACTAACAAGCCACCTTCCGGCCACCCAGGACAGACCTGGTGGTTCTTTGTTATGCCTCATGCCCTAGTCCCATTTAATTACTCTCAGCCCATAGTAAGAGCGCGCAGTTAAAGTTAACACAAAGTAGAGCACTGATTGTAGTTTCTCTCCCATTTCATTTTCTGCTCGTTAACACAACTCTTAGCTCCAGTTCCAATTTAAAAAGTAGCCTAGGATCCTCACTGTCAGCTTCAGGTCTGTTGGAACAGGTGAAAGGAGAAGGATATCCCAGAGGGGATGGAACATGGTATTTCTGGTCACTTGATTCTTATTCCTGTGTTTAATGTTTTAGCACATTTCAAAGATATGTGCTAAAACCTGATATGGGTTGCTGTGTCTGCCCTGGCCAGTCTATAACACAGGGGCACAGCCTTAGGGGATCCAGGCTGCACAACCCTGTGTGATGGCAGTGACAGTGACCTAGGATTTGGCTCACCAAGGAGTGTTGTTTTCACAGGTGGATAGCGACACCATATGGAATGAGGTACACTCGTCGGGGGCAGCCCGCCTGGCTGTGGGCTGCGTGGTGGAGCTGGTCTTCAAGGTGGCCACGGGAGAGCTAAAGGTCAGTCAGCACAATAGATCTAGCTGGGCGACACAAGGAGGGTCAGCCCAATGTCCTTTTTCTGCCGGCGAGGGCCTGGAAAGGATTGGTGCAAGGTGGCTCCTGTCCGGGATAATGTAGACGCTCCATGCTGATGAAAATAAATAGTTCACATTCTGAGGTGGATCTGTGCAGCCCTTTACCCCTTCCCAGTTGCTCAGGAGCCCAGAAAGCTTTTGTTCATGTAGCTCCCTCTTTAGTATCAACTAATTGAGATTTAAAAAATGAGACATTTTCAGAGTATTGATTGTAAAATAACATCTGGCATAGTGCATGGCATCTAGATTCACATCTGTCTTACAACAGTGTGAAACTGGTGGAGAGACACTGACCTGTGTAAGCAAGGGTTGAAAAGGGAGTGTCTTGTGGTCCTCATGAAAACTAGAGACTAGCTAACTTCTCTGACCTGTGCCAGTGTTGGCACATGGCAAATCTTGAAGGCAGTGCAGCGTGGACCCTGCAGCCACCTGTTTGTTGTGTAGTTGTCTCACCCCCAGGATGTTTACTGAACCAGACAGCGGTTGGAAAGTTAAGGTCCTAGATCTCAGCATCCCTAACCCTAACAGAAATCATGCTTTGTTTTGTTTTTAAGATTTATATACTTTATTATATGTGCAGTGTTATGCCTGCACGTATGCCTGCACACCATAAGAGGGTACCAGATTTTATTATAGATGGTTGCTGAAAATTGAATGCAGGACCTCTGGAAGAACAGCCAGTGCTCTTAACCTCTGAACTGTCTCTCTAGCCCCTGTTTTGTTTTTTTAAACTCTTACTGCTACCTACCACTCATCTCATAAGAAATGCCATCCCGTCCAAAGTCCCTGTGCATAGGTACAGGCACGTGTGAAGTCCAAATCCCAACACTGGCACCTCCTGTCTGTCTTGTTCCCAGAAGTGAAAAGCATTATCCTTCTTGAGAAGTGTCTTAGATCTCAAGCAGTAAGGCCCATAATTTTGCTCATCTTTACAAGGAAAAAAGTATATCTCTAAGAAAAGAGGATCTGACTCAGCTCACAGTGAACAGTGTGCAGAGAGGCTTCCTGTAGCTAGCCAACACATGGCCCCATTCCGTACCATCACACTGTCTTCTCTACTCAGGATGGTATGCTAAAAGATGTGGGCCTGAAGATGGAAGGTGTCCACTTTGTGGAAACTTACCATGAGGATGCTCATGGGGAAACGTACCCTTGGGAATTCATTTGTGCTCATTGTCAGGGCTGTTGTATCTTCATTCCATGCTTGCCTGCTGCTCAGCACCATACATACTGTTGTCTGCTCAGTATAAGAGGCAGGTGGAATCAGAGGCTTGTTAGACTCCTGAAGCCAGTACCCGGAACTCAGCACAGAGTGCAGGCACAAGAATGAGAACAAAGTTTGCAGTACTGAGTGTCAGAGGGTGGCATCTGTCTTGGGTCTTTCCCTCTCAGCCTTACCACTGCCCTGTCTTGTCAACCCAGTCCCCTTGGCTGACCTTTGTGTGTTCAGCCCAACACTTCCTGGGGCTGGAGAGAGTCAGACTTGGTTGAGTGTTTTTACAGCAGCAGCCCCAGTGGTGTGCCAGGGGTTCTGTAGAGTATGAGTGATGGGGTGTAGGCTGTGCAGCCGTGCCATCCAGTGCCAGCTCTGTCGTGATTATTCTTAAAGATGGGAGTAGAGTTGGGTGCTGTGTATGTGACAGAGGTGAGCCCAAGACCTGCTTGAGGCATAGCATGGACACAGCAGTAGTCTATATGAGCACTTTGTTTTATTAGGGGATGATGGGAAAACAAGTTCTTCTTTAGCCAAGCTAGGCTCTGGCTCACAGTGTAGGTGAGACTGGCCTCAAGCTCCTGATCTTCCTTCTGGAGTCTAGCATGCCCAGCTTTCTTTTATCTGTATCCATGTTTGCCACAAGGCTGCTGGTGAGCAACAGGCAACAAGACTGTCTGGGATCCTAGGCCACACCCCCGCCAGTGGCTGCAACCCCGACTGTTGGCACTTAGAAACAGAGCCAGTGGGCCTACTGTCTGTCCTCAGGTCAGGCTTTCTGTACAGACTCCTTAACAAAGGAGCCAACTAACCCCATTTCCCATCCATGTCGTGGGACCAGTGATAATGGAAACCGCATCATCCTGTGGAGTCTGAATCTGATGTTTGTGCTGACTTTGGGGTATGAAATGCCTTTCCTCACTGTTTCCCACTGTCTGCTATCATTGCAGAATGGCTTTGCTGTGGTTCGCCCCCCAGGACACCATGCTGAGGAGAGCACACCCATGTAAGTGGACACAGGAGGCTGATAAAAATCATGGGTGGCAGGGCTGGGTGAGCATCTGAGGACCCAGGGAGGAGCTGAGTGGCCTTGTGCACATCACCCAGGCTGTGCTACTTTGTCTTCCTTGCCCACAGCTGAGGTAGACCTGTGATTTGAGAGTCGTGCAGTTGGATGAGGAATATAGACACAAAGACTTCCCTGTTGAGTTTAAGAAAGATGGTTCAAGTGGTTGAAATTATGACATCAGGGAAGCTGTGCCAGAGATGTGTGTGATGATGCGCTAGGTCCTTAGCCCACGGGAATAGTACCATTCACATTTATGATGGGTTTTACCACCCTTTTTAACCTAAGCATGATAATTCCTCATAGCCTTGCAGAGGTTGACCCAATTAAATAATCTCAAATAGTTATCTCCAAATGATTCCATATCCTGTCAAGTTGACAACTATTATTAACCTTTAACAGTGTCTGTGTGTGTCTTCAGTATGTGTTTGCATGTGTGTATCTGATATCTGTAGATGTATGTATTTGTGTCTGTATATTTGTGGTGTGTGCATGTGTGTTTGTATGTATGTTATATGTGTCTTGTAGTGTATACACTTACGTGTGCCTGTGTGCATATCTGGGGTGTAGGGAGATTGTCTATAGTGGGAAGATGTCTTCTATAGTGTGTGTGCTCATACTTCAGTATGTATTTCTGAGTGTGGTATATGTGTCTGGCAGGTGGGTCTTATGTGACACATGTGCTTATGTACCTGTGGATCTGTAGTATATGTACTTGGCTTGTGTGTCTATGTCTGTTGGTTAATCGCCAGCACCAGTTAAAGGTCCCAGTTAGGAACCAAATGGCCTTCGCCTGGACCCTCCAGAATATCATAGACTGTTGATATTCTACTATGAGTTGTATAAAAACAGTAACTAGACATCATCTTTGCAGGGGGTTCTGCTATTTTAACTCTGTGGCAATTGCAGCCAAACTTCTCCAGCAGAGGCTGAATGTGAGCAAGATCCTCATTGTGGACTGGGTGAGTGACTTCCTGCCCAGGCAGGCCTGGAAAGAGCATGCACGCCCACCTGTTTCCCCAGTGAACACCCTGACTGAGCATGGGCCTTCACCTCTACTGACACTTGGAATCAGGGAACAAACTGAACTTTCTGAACACGGTCCCAGAAATCAGCGAAGTAAAGCCTGAACCCATTAGAAGGTGGATTTAGGACTGAGACCAGCCGATCCTGCCAGTCATTAGCCTAACCTGCCAGGATAGTACACACGTTTGAGGGAGGCCACCATCGCTGGTCTTCGGTATGACCTCTCAGGAGACTGGAGCTTTGAAGGTCATGTTTAAGCCTGACTCTGTGCTCTGACCTGGGGACATGAACCTGGCTGCCCACCTTATGCTAGCTGAGACTCACTTCACACAAGTGACTGTGCCTCCATCTTCCCAAACAAGCACGGCTTCTTATAATCCGACTGTCTGGAATGGCTGCTGCTTCTCTGAAAGCTAAGCCAAATGTCAGAAGTAGCCAGATGTCGGGATATGCATGTCAGCACCCCTTCTTAGTCAAGTGCCTGGGTGTCATGAGCTCCGAGCAGCAGGTGAAGAGGCAGTCTGGGCTTCTACCAGGTCTATGATCATCACTGTGGTCGTGGCTGTGGGGAGCGGTCCCCAGGACAAGCATGCTGGATGACCCTGTACTGCATTCTGCATCATATGTGAAAAGCTGTACGAAGCCAGTGGATCTAAGACACATGCACAAAGAAACACTTTGATTCTGTGTCTCTTAACATACTTTAAGCCCACATCAGGTGGGGTTCTCATTTGGATTTCATGCCCTTCCAGTTTCAGAAAGAAACATTAAACTGCATGATGGTGACACATTGACACTACTATGACTTACTGTACACAGTGTTATCCATGGTTGCTCCTCTCAGCGGGGACCTGGTGAGATAGAAGGGGCACTTGTCTTCTCGAGTAGTTGAACATCCACATCCTACACTGAGCACAGATGACCCTGTAGAGAAAGCTTTTCACACACACAGCCATGCAGTGCAGAGCCACCCAGCCTGCCCATCCTGGGAACCAATTCTCATGGCCCACAACAGTGGCCACAGGCCTGGCAGAAATCAAAGCTGCCTCTTTTTCTTGCTTTCTGGTTCTCAGTTACACAGGTATCATGTCTTAAGAAAACAGCTGCTCACTTCCAGATGGGGGCCTGGGTACCCGTCTGTCACCTAAGTTCTTCTTCCATATGCCCTATGCGATGAGAAATACCTCACATGTGCCTGAACGTAGCCAACCCATAATCGGTAATTATCCTGATGGAAGTCGGAAATGGCTCACTGTAAATGCGGCAGGCACATAAGATGAATCAGATGGCTTGGTTTGAAATCCCAGCCTCAACTCAGCTGGAAGCTAGCCCCATTCTCTTCTCTGAAGTCAGGAATGTGCTCTGGTGCGCGTTACAGAGACCCTGCCAACTCAGACTCTAAACTTCAGCGTCTCTTGATGCAGCTGACACCCCTTAGCACCTTACTATAAGACGCAAACCAGGCTTAAGATTCTAAGGTGTTCACCAAGTAGGAACTGTTACCCCAAGGCTATACTTGAGGCCTGGTCCTCCCTAAGTCAGTTCTCTTGGTCTCTCAGGATGTACACCATGGGAATGGGACTCAGCAGGCCTTCTACAATGACCCCAATGTTCTCTACATGTCCCTGCACCGCTATGACGATGGGAACTTCTTCCCGGGAAGTGGAGCACCAGATGAGGTATGTAGAGTGTGTGAAATTTTGGGGGCATCTGGGGGGACATGCCAGCTTAGAGCCAGGTGCTACAGCTATCTGGAGAGCAGGGCAGATGCAGGCCACCCCAGACTGCCATTCTAGAAAATTCTACCCTAGATTATGCTGGGCCTGCCTTGGACCAGAATTTTTTCAATGTTCAGTGAGAATCTATACATCATTTCTGGTTCCGTTCAGGGCAAGGAAACATAAGGAGTTGTTATATTGCTCCTCCAGGACACCGGCTTCTCTGTACCTTGTGATGCCTTTTCCAACCGCTGTCTTTAGTGGGCATGCTTAGGCAGCACACTCATGCCCCTTGTTCATCTGGCATTTGGTACTACCTGGTAGTCCCAGGAACATAGAGCCTACCTTCCGAAGACAGTCCCAAAGTATAGAGCCTCTTCTGTGCACACATGATGCACAGGTCCTCAGAAGTGTCTCTCAGTGGTTCCTCCTAGTTTAGGGTCTGTGAGCAGCTGCAGCCCTGTAAAGTCTGCTCCACTGATCTTAGTGCCTGGTACTGGAGTGGCCAGCTTCACTGGTGAGCACACGCACACAGGACTCATGAATATTCCTATGGGCCTGTCATCCCAACACACCCTAATTCAAGTGTCAGTTGTCTCGGGTGATCTTTTCAGAGTGCCATTGACAACAGTTTCTCTCCTTGTGGCCACAGGTGGGCACAGGGCCAGGCGTGGGTTTCAATGTCAACATGGCTTTCACGGGAGGCCTCGAACCCCCCATGGGAGATGCAGAGTACCTGGCAGCCTTCAGGTGAGTACCATCTGTTCAGTCACAGAGACTGGCCCTTCTGAGTCCAGGGGCAGCCAAGCAGACTGGGGACTCCGGGGTTGATCTTTGAACTGTCTCACTTCTGTTACCAGCTCCCTTCTCATGTGAGCCTGTTTGGGTCCCAGTGATAAGATGAGGAGACAGTAGGGGGTGGAGTAAGACTTCTGCTATGCTGGAAACCTTCAATCAGTGGAAACTGAAAGTATAAATTTCAGATCTCATTTCCTGCTCACTCTTCCACAAAGCCTTTGTGAAGGTATAACAAGTGGAAATGAATAAAGGAGAAATAGGATCCCCTTTATTTGTATGAGTATCAGGGAAGAGTCATCTTATTATATCACATCTTTTGTGCTGCTGTGGCCCCTTAGATTGGCTGCAATGTGGTTGCTTTTTAAAAAAGCATTGACTTTCGTTGTCCTGATGTATTTACATCAGGCCAGACTGAAGCCATTCATACAGCCAGTAGTGGATGGCTTGGCCTGTCACTTTCTTCTTGTTACACCATGGTGACTTTCCCTAGCTGCTGTGCAATGAGGAGGCACCACTCAAGTCAACCACAGCCCAGGATGGTTCCAGGGCCTGGATGGGCCCGAGGGGCCTTCAGTCTCATAAAATACTTTATTTATTTTTACTTATTAATTTGTATTGTGGGTGAAAACATCATCAGACCTCCAGGTGTCTTCTCTGCCTTGACCACTGTACATATGAAGCACATGTGTATAATCATGTGCCTTATGTGCATGTAGACATGCTTACTGCAGACATGTGTACATGTGTCTGTATGTTCCTGAGGGGCACTATCTATATGACTGTGTGTGTGTGTGTTTGTGTTGTTGTTGTTGTTGTTGTTGTTGTTATGTGCATATATGCCTGTAAGGCATAGATCTCTGGAAGTATAAGCACATATGTATGCAAGTGTGTATGTCGCTAGTTGGTGAGCTGTATCTGTAAAATGTATGTGGACTTGCCTATGCTCTGTAGCTGTGGTACCAAAAACTCAGAATACTTCTCAGTATCTGCCTGCTCATTTTGAAACAGGTTCCCAGTCCCATTTCCTATTGGAGAGGTGGTTAGGGTCCAGTATGGTAAAGGCCTGACCCAGTGGGTGTGAGTCAACCAGACTAGAAGTGACAAATCTCAGTTGGTGAAGTTACAAAGGTCTGCTGTTCAGCTGTTGGCCAGTAGCAGGCAAGGATCACTCAGGCCTTAGAAGCTTTGTGCTGACTGCCACCTGCCATTTACCTCTAATCCCTTTGTTTCTGGTGTCTCTGCACGCCACTGATCTGTGCCCGCCTCACTTACAGACTTCCTCCAAACACTAGGAAGTCTGTGAAAGCTAAACCTGAGAACCAGGGTGTGTCATGCCCTCTGCACAGCACTGGAAACATAGCCTATCCATAGTGTGAGAAGAAACCACTACCCAGTTAGTGACCTTTGTTTCTGAGTGGATGCCGTTTACTGGTCAGGGCCTATGAAGGCTTCATGGTGGCTCTGGTACAGAGAGAAGATGGTATTTGCTTGATGACAGTAACAGATACCCTCCACTCACATCAGTCCTTGCAGCCGGTGACTGGGCCGGCCCTCGTCCCCCAGGCCTTGCTCTCTGCCTTCTGAACTGTGCTCACTGGAGGCATTTCTTGAGTATGCCTGCAGTTCTGTGATCCAGGGGCCAAGTCTGACCCCTGCTGTCCCTGCCCAGGTATCTGCAGTGTCTGACCTGCCTGTCCAGCCTTTGAGGTGAACCTTCCTTCCTTAGTCACCCTGACATCTGTCCTAACGGTTGGCAAAGTATATGGATGATAATCCCTTTTTGATGGCGCCTTCTAAAGCTTCAATTGCTTTGAAAAGGGAAATTGATTCAGGTTGCTTTTTTTTATTTTAATGTAAAGTAGTACTTTGAAGTTCACAATTTATGGTTCCCTGGGCATCAGGTGGGGAAAGAAGGGTCAGAGGCTCCTTCCCCCTTTTTTCTTCAGTCTACTCCTTTGGGGCCCCATGGGTTAAGGCATGCCTCAAAGACAGCACCTTGTTCTTCAGAGCCCTCTACTGCCAGGTCACATTTTCAAGGGATCAAGCATCAGATGAAGAAAAGATAAGAAAATTGCCCCTAATGAGATCCAGAAGTGACCGGCACTTTCTCCTCAGGCCCAGACACTTGTAGGAGAAAAGAACTATAATTCAAACCAGGCCTCAAGCCAGACACAGCTTTGAAGTTGGCGGAGCTCAGGCAGAGCACTATGGGCTGGGAAGCAGAGAGTGAGTGATACACTGTCCTTAGCATCCTGGACCTGTCCTCAGTACCTGGCCTCTGCAGTGGAACAGTCATGTGTGGCACAGGAAGCTTAGCAAAGATGGTGCTGATGTTCTGGTGGCATCTTAATTTCTCACTGGCCTCAAACTACAAAGCCTATTGCCTATCTGTGGACCTTGAACCCTCATTCTGTTGTACAACCTGCTGTTGTTGCTGCTTTTTCTAAACAACTGAGTGGTGTGGTAAGACACTCGTGGTCCCTGTGAGTACACTCTGATATCTGCCATAGTTATCACTCTGCCTTCTGAATGGCTTAATGTCTGAGAGACAAGGACTTGCTGTGAATATATTTGGTTAAACTATCAGCTACCTTTTTGAAAGGTAGTTGCAGTTCATGATGACACCCCACTGCTTCCTTAGATAGAATTTTAGCAGAGTCAATGGTGGTGGTCTTAGAAATCAAGAAACAGAAACATAAAGCTCAGCATTGAAAGTCTAGTGAGCCAGCAGCCTCTCTTGCCTGCTTGGCCCCCAGACAGGAACCAGGGATAAAGCTCGAAGCTCTGTGATGCAGTGATTGATGGCTCCCAACCATCAGGGCCCTCAGATGCCCCCAGAGGTGAGGCCCAAGCCAAGCCTTGTGGGGGAAAGGGTATCCCCAAGGAAATTGCCTGTACGCCTCAGTCCGGGGCAGGAGGACTGTTGAGGGTTTGTGCCTGGTGAATAATAAGTGATATGTCTTCTGCTGCGGCCTGGGAAAAGACCTGGTCCCAGGATGAAGTGGGCAGGATGTTTGAATCAACCATTCCAACAAAATGTAAAGAGGCCTGAAAGGCAGGACTACCTTGTTAAACAGTGACAAACCATGGCATTGGGGAGTGGGGGGGGGGGGGACTAGGGGGAATATGAATGTGGGCAATGTGACCTCCAGCATTTGCTTGTAGGGGTTGAACATCACCAGGCCAGAGATTCAGAAGAGCGAGTTTGGGTATGTAGCAGAGAATGCTCTGACTGGGAACATTGTGAAAAAAATGTCTGAGTTGGCATTTAGTAATCCAGGAAGACATGTTTGGTGCATTAGGAGAGAATGCAAAGTGAGGACCCTACTCCGGTTCCTAAGAAACTCAGGAATCGGGGAGAAACTCAGACCACCCAGTTGAGGCCAGAAGAGCCTCCCATCAGCCCAAGTGCTTACAGTCTGGGTTTTTAATTCCTGCTGTAGGTAAGTGGGAGGAGGTGATGGAGGGGCCTGTGGAGGAAAAGGCAAGCTCTTGAATTAGAGGTTGTCGGTGTGGGGAATTGGGGATAGGAGTGCCAGGGTGAGCAAAAGAAGATGAGGGTGAAAGCAGAGTGTCGAGGTGGACCTTGGTAGCTTTGCTGTGTAACATTGAGCCCTGGATGAAGGGACACAGAGCTTAGTGCCCCCATCACCCCCTTCTCCCCGGCTGTGGCAGCCACCAGCTGGACTGAGTTAGAGAAATAGGTTCACTGACTCTCCAGATGGAGCTGGGAACCCCTGCTCTCATGTGGGAACCTAGCTCTTGAGGCACTGACTGCAGTTAGTGTGCATTTCAGAGATGCCCCCTGTGTGCATTCTGCCCTCTCATGAGACATGGGATGTATGGCTATGGGCTCTACATTAGGAGCTGGCCTTTCCGTGTGGCTGACAATGAACAGTTTCTCTGTGAGATGCAGTGTGAGCCTACATCCCTGTCTGGTGCACCAGCCCTACTTTTTACCAAGCAAGCCACAGTGCAGACAGAAGTAGGCATGTGTCCTCTGGACCATGTGTGTAAATGAGAGCCCACATACCACGGGCTGTGGGGTGGTTGATTTGAAAGCAGGACAACACTGGTAATGAAGGATGCTTAAGCTATAGAAGAGACACTCACCACACTACATACATAGGACCACTCGCCTAGGCACTTCTGAGGACCTGGAGGGGTCTTCATTCCCTCCCTGCACCAAGGATGAGCTATAATCACATTTCCACCCTTCTCAGAGAGCTGTTCATTTTTACTTCCTCCAGGAAGATAGTAAAATGATCTGTTATATTGGGAAGCTTCATCTCCCTGCCCCTAATCTCTCACTCACAGACACAAATATACACAAAAACACAAAAGAATCTTCTATTTCAGGAACTAAGTCGATGATTTAAAATTTATTTTGGGAGATAAAATGTAAGCTCAGTCTCCCATTTAACTTTGAACGCCAGTTAAATAAGGACATTCTTTAAAGTTCTTTCCTGCAAGGTGGTGGGTAGAAGGCACATCCACTGTACAGCAGGGCATATCCAACTAAAAAAGCCGTGTCCCAACAAGGAGCAAAGACACCCTTGGTATCACACATGACTGCTGGGGACACCCTCTAACACACACCCCTCACATTCAGGGTTGTCACCAGTTACCCTAGCTTCAGCACATTTCATAGTGAGCCTAGGACAAAGACTGCGTCTGCTGGTACCCGCTGCCGCTGTGTACATGGGACCACTTTGACTCCAGCGTGGAGAATGGCTTAGGTTTCGTTCTGGACCATAACACACAGCAAGTGTAAGCATCAGTACTTGTGGTGTGAGCTCCATTTAATAATGATTTTAGCAGAACTTTTTGGGGGGCAGGTTTTGGGTATTAAATAGCTCAGTTATACTTCAAAACCCACCATATGCCCTTGTTGCAGTGCTTAGCAAGTGCCACACTTGGCACAAACAACTATGGTTTTACTTGAAAAAAAAATGACTTGGCTTTAAAATCCCTATCAAAACCATGATGGGTTCTATTATTCTGTTGAAAACAACGGTTTTGTGACAATGTTTTCATTGATATGGTCTCCTTAGTGTGATGTGGACACCCACTGCTATTCTAGCCATCTTGTCAGTTCAGTGTCCCACACTCCCAGAGAAGAGAGCCCTGCAGAGCGCTCCTGGGGAGACAGGTTCACTCCATGCAATGATGCCAGTGACACAGAAGCCAGAGGCCCCAATGGTGTTCTCTACCCTGTGACTGACTAGATCACAGATTCCTTGCTCCTGACCACTGTGGCAGGTTTCTAGACAAATGCCAGTGTGTTCACTGGGTAGATGCTCAGCTTAAATGCTTTGTACCAATGAAATGATAGTCTGGTATTGCCTGTGTTGCGGCGGGTCACCATGACAGCTGTGTATTCTGAGGCTGAGGTGCTGCTCTGAAGAGCAGGATATAAGCCATGCAAATGATTCCAGAGCAGATATTCACAGCCATGGCTCCTGTGTGGAATCCACCAGTGTTTGCATCTTTCTTCATTGTCCGTGGCTGCTGCTTTTACATCACAGGCATCTGTATTGCCCAAGACCATGTGGCCCCAAGACTAAAAGGCCTCTTGCCCAGACTTTGGGATAAAGTGTGCTGGCCTTCATCTGTGGCTACCTGAATGTGTCCTGCACTGTACCAGTGGTACACAGAGCCCCAAGGTACAGGGTAGCCTTGGAAAGTCCCTTCATCCTGAGACAAACAATTCCAGGAGACTCTAGACTGTGTATACCCTCCAGAACAGCAGAAGGCCAACCCCTTCACAACTGCCCAACTTTGGTTCGAATACATGTCTGAGCTTCGGTTACCTGAGGTTGAACTTGGTATATTTTTAATAAACCTCTCCATACTGATCAGAACTAAGCCAACTGAAGTAGCACATAAGGCCATACCACTCTACCTTTCTCTGTCTGAGCTTTCCCTGGGAGTTCTGATGTAGATAGCATGTGTCCTGCCACCCTGAAGTAGAGGAATTGGCAGCCAGAGTTCCACCTAGAATCATTCCTGAGTCTGTCCCATTAAATTCTGAATATCTTTAAATTCAGAGTTGATACTTCTGCTGATTTTAATAGGGAATTTTACTAAATAGGAGAGGTTAGAGGAGAAAATGGAGTTGTTGGTCTTCCATATGCCATGCCCTTCGCTGACCTAGTGATGCCTTCTCCTATCCTTTGCAGAACGGTGGTCATGCCAATTGCAAATGAGTTTGCCCCCGATGTGGTACTGGTTTCATCAGGCTTCGATGCTGTGGAAGGCCACCCCACACCTCTTGGAGGGTACAATCTCTCTGCCAAATGTAAGTCACTAGTGTTTACCTTCCCTACTTGCATGTCTGCTCATCCCACAACTGGTTTGTTGTAGTAGGAGCTGTGGGCTGCTTCCTGCCTCCCTGGCTCCCGGCCGCCTGGCTAGTTCAGTCGGTAGAGCATGAGACTCTTAATCTCAGGGTCGTGGGTTCGAGGCCCACGTTGGGTGCCACTCTGTAGTGGTGTGGAGCGTAGAAGGAGGAGCAGCGGGCTGCTTCCCGCCACCCGGCTAGCTTTACCCCGGAAATAAGTACACGGAAACTGTATTCTTTTAAACATTGCCTGGCCCATTATCTATAGCCTCTTATTGGCTAATTCTCACATCTTGCTTTAACCCATATTTAGTAATCTGTGTAGCACCACGAAGTGGCTTACCAGGAATGATCTTAATCTGCGTCTGTCTCAGGTGGGAGAATCATGGCGACTGTCTCACTTACCGTCTTCCCAGCATTCTGTTCTGTCTATTCCGCCTACCTAATTTTCTGTCCTATCGGGGCTAAGGCAGTTTCTTTATTTACCAATGAAAGTAACACATAGACCCTCCTCCATCAGTTTGTGTTCTGTGTAAAGCAGTAGGAGGCACATAACCTTCATTTCTTACTCAGAATGAAACTATGCTAGCAGCCATCAGCAGGCCCTGGGCAGCAGGAGACTGAGAGTTGAAAGCCATAGACTCTACCCTGGGGATAGAAACTCAACAGGGCCTGCACTAGGTTCTGTCAACTGGACTATGGACACTAGACCAACATGCAGTCCTTTTCCAAGTATGAGAAGGCGAGGTCACAGTTATGCCTAGCCAACATGTGCCTGGGTGCTGAGTTTTGTTCTCTGCTAGAGGAGCAGGCCCTCTAATCTTTGAATAGGCTGTGGAGCTGGAGGAGGAACCAATCAGGACTTATATTATATAGTGGAAGAGGAACCAATCAGGACTTATATAGTGGCTGCATTTCTCCATGGATGAACTTGCTGGCACTGTATGTGACCTCTGCATCTGCTCTGCTGCAGCACATGGCAAAGATATGAGAGGCCTCTGGGCTGTAACACCTTGGGTCACAGTGGCCTGACAGTTTCTCATACAACTATGGTGCCCAGAGGCAACAAAAGCCTGGGTTCCTAAAGCCTGACCCTAGTACCTTACTCTGTCAGGACCTGGATCTGCTCTCTCCTCCCTGCCCATCAGCACATCTAATCAAGGAGGATAGCCTCTCTCTCTTACCTTCACCAGGGAGGGTATGCACTCAGCAAGGGAGTAATGAGCTATGAAGTGGCCTTTGGGAGTCAGTGCTCTATTTATTACAGGGCATCTTCGAGCCCACTGAACCTACTGTGGGGTCCAGACAGGGAACTAAAAGCACCCACCATACTTCATAGTCTCTGTTACCACATTCTGAGCTGCTTTTATATCCAGCCCCAAAGCCAGCATCAGTGTTTCTGTCAGACACACCTGGGTTCGCCATTAGTTTCTGCCCACTAGCATTTCATAGCTAGCAGAAGGTGCAGCCTTGTATGGACCTGAATCGGTCTGGTGAGGGGCTGGTCAAGGTCACTGTCTTACTAGGGCTTTCCCATGCCTAGCCAACATCAGCCTGCCTGACTGTGTGTAGTATCCCCATGCCAACCAAGTGACATATCAGGTGGGGACTGTGAACAGAGAGAAGACTCTGTGACCTTAGATGGAAGCAGATACACAGATAATGGATGTGCGAAAGTCCTGTCACCACACACAGCATTGATACGGGCATGCTTTTGTCTACGTGTGTATGTTTGTACAGAGCACATCAGATGCCCAAGAAGACAGGTTAGTATACAGCCTTTGAATAGGGATGGCTGCATTATAAAAATACAGCAATGAAACCAAAAGTCACACTCAATTGGGTGAAGATGAAATCCTCAGTTACTCGAGATGACATCTCAGCCTCTGGTATTTTTAGGTGGTACTGTGTGGAGTTTCTGAAGTGCTCTGCTCCCATATACCCCGCTTCCTTTGCAGGTTTTGGGTACTTGACGAAGCAGCTGATGGGCTTAGCTGGTGGTCGGATTGTGCTGGCTCTTGAGGGAGGCCATGACCTGACAGCCATCTGTGATGCTTCTGAAGCGTGTGTTTCTGCTCTTCTGGGAAATGAGGTATGTAGTCATCTACAGAATATGCCACACCACAGGCAAAAGCCTGCCGCTAGGAGCTCAGGTGGTGGAGGGCATTGGTCTCTGACTTGGGTGAACAGTTCACCTGGCTTGGGCTGCAGCTGTTCCCACCCATGTAGTAGGGCTAGTATGACTTTCGCTAAGAGATGAGCAGAAGGGACACAGAACTGGCCTAATATCTCAGAAGTGCTTGGTGCAGCTGGTTCTTCCATCCTGTGTCAGTCATGGAGTGTGATGGCCATGCTTCATCTTAACTCTTCCGGGCTCCCGTATGGACAAAGTTTCTCTGGGCAACTTGTCCATGGGCTTGGGTGGTGTCTTAGTTAGGATTTTTAGTGCTACAACAAAACACATCGAAGAACAAGTTGGGGAGAAAAGGGTTTATTTGGCTTATACTTCCAGATCATATTCCATCATTAGAGGAAGTCAGGACAGGAAATCAAGCAGGGATGGAACCTAGAGGCAGGAGTTGATGCAAAGGCCAGGGAGGGGAGCTGCTTACTGGCTAGCTTCCCCTGGCTTGCTCAGACTCCTTGTTTATAGAACCCAGGACCACCAGCCCAGGGATGTTACCACCTACCATGGGATGCCTCCTCTCCCCCACTCCCCTGCCACAATTGATCAGTAATTGAGAAAATGCCTTACAGCTGGATCTCATGGAGGCATTTCCTCAACTGAGGTTCCTTCCTCTCTGGTGACTCTAGCTTGTGTCAAATTGTTACACAGACCCATCCAGTCCAGGTGGTATGAGCATGTTCAGGCTGAATTATTAGCTCAGGGCTAGGCCAAGACCTCTTTATTCAGCAACCATTTGCCTTCTCTGTTCAGGAGTGATCCTTAAGGTCAGGGCTCTGCATAGCCCCACTGGTGCTGCAGGACAAAGTCAGAGGTATTGGCCTGCATAGCAGTATTCAAAGACCTGATCAGATAAAGCTTTTGAGGGCAAAAGTAGAGTGAACACTGTGAATTCCCTTCCACTATATCTGAGGAGGGTCCCTTGTTGACATTCCTAGCTCCTTGTGTGCATAACTGCACTAGCAGAGGCCCACTCCAGCTGCAGGCTAGGATGAGAGTGGCATTTTCACATAACCCTGGGAGCCCCTAATGCATGTGGTACAATTGGCAAATACCTTCCATGAAAAATTCTCAAATCCTATTTTTGAGAACCAGTAGTTCTCAACCTTTCTAATGCTGTGACCCTTTAATACAGTTCCTCATGTTGTGGTGACCCCAACCACAAAATTATTTCCATTGCTCCTTCATAACTGTAATGAACCATAACGTTTTCTGTTTTCTGATGGGCTTAGGTGACCGTGTGAAAGGGTCATTCAATTTCCAGAGCGATTTTCTAGGCCCTTCTGGCTGGTGTATCTGTCTCCGAACTGGCACAATTCTTGCTTCATAGGGCTTGCTCACATTGCTTCCCTGTGGGTGGTGTGCAGGTGCTAGGAAGGAGCCAGACAGGAATGGGGAACTCAGTGATGGAGTCTGCAGCTCAGGAGCTGCTGGGTCTGTACCCTCAGGTAGCTCAGACTAGCCTCAAGTGTCACATGCAAGCACGTTGGTCTCTGGGAAATAGTGGCAGGTGGGTCAGCAGCTCTGAGGCCAATGACACTGCTGCACCTGCTCCTCAGTCAGGAGTTCTCAGGCTGTCCCCACCCTGTAGGCCAGGGTCTAGATGGCTCTTAGAAGACTCTCTGACCTGCCAGCTCAGGGCTGCTCTTGAAGACAGCAAGGCTCTAACTGGGCAAGGAGTTGTCAAAAGTCCACAGACTACCACAGTCTCATAGTCAAGTACATTATGAGTCATCTGCTCTGCACGCTTTATTCTAGAAATCACAGAGAGGAGGAGAGGGTAAAAACTCCTGTCCTCACTGTGTTTAGCTTGTACGCTTGTGGAACCAAAATGCATATTCCTGTTTTGGTATGAACCCCATTATAAGAGAACCCCCACACACACCTGGCTCCAACCTCTGCCCCTGTGCTACCTATAGGATGCTCCTTCATCAGAGGAAGTGGATGCACATCTTAGCCAAGGCTTTTTGTCAGTCCCAGAGTACACTGAGCAAACATTGAGCCCCACCCAGATCTCATGACTGACAATCCTCCCTGCCCTCCTTTGCAACTGGCATGAGGGAAAAATATCTAAGCCCAACAGACAGCAGGTCCCTGAAGGGGCAGTCAGCCACAAATGTTCACGTGTTGCTGGGGAGAGGAATAGCAGAGGGCCTGTTCTATCTTCCCCAACCCTACCTGCCCAGCAAACTTGCTCCCACTGGCTTCCCTATAATCCTAAATGTGAAAGGGCCACCAGAGTAGTTAGTGTTGTTTTCCAAGATGTATTTCATATGTACACAGGTTCCTGCGGCATTCACCTTAGACAGTGTCCCTTATGGGAAAGACGAGAGAGAGAGAGCACACAGAGTACCTTTTCACTGTGTGACTTCTAGTCTGAGGATGGTGGAGATTGAGGGGTTTATGGATGTGTTAAGGGCATTGGCAGGTGCTGGCAAACCAGACCCCAGCCTACAGGGTAGAGACAGCCTGAGAACTCTTGATGTGTCATTGGGCAGCAGCCTTCAGAAGCCATGAAGAGCAGGTGCAGTAGAGGTCACAGATCTCAGACAGAGCTGATGACCCATTTGCCGCTATTACCCAACAACTGTGCTCAGTGATACAGGAAACCTAGGAACTGCAGCCAAGCCAAGTTTCCCACAGCCTACTGCAGATCCTGACCCTTCTATGAGATGCTGGGAATTAGAGGTCAGGGCAGAGGCACTGGTTAGGTGTCTGTGGCTCTGTGGAAGCCTCTTGTGCACCTTGGCATGGAGTTATGTGAATATCTCAGGAGAGGAGGGGGCTAGGTAGTGTGAAAGGGCAGAGATGCCAAAGACAGGGAAACTAGAAGACAGCTGTGTGGACAGCATGGAGAGGCTGGGCCCAGAAATCCAAGATGCAGCAGAGAAGGAAATAGGGAGGAGGCAGATGCTTGAAGGATCTGTCTGAATCCCAGAGCTTCACCCCACGTTAGCCTGCACTCTTAAAACACTGAAACTGTTACTCTATATGCCAAAGACAGTAGGAAAAGCACCGCTGTGGTCCTGAGTTCCAAGGCCCTAACAAGGGATTTGCACACACACACCTGACAGGGGTATCTGCTAACTATAAGCCTAATGGATAAGGCCAGTATGGGACAGGGAACAGCTAACTTAGTCTGACAACCAGTTGACACTCACAAAGAACCAGAGGAGAGCTTAGACCAGGCAGGCAGTCTTAACAGTAGCCTCCAGAGTGTTGGGTCCTAGGTAATTCCAGAAGTAAGAGCTTGGCCATCCTGTGGTGTAATCCAGAGGTGTAAATCCAAAGCAAGGAGAAGGGGCAGAAGAAAACCTAGCCACTTTTGGGCACAGTTGTAGCAGAGCTTCCCGGTAAAACTCAGCTGATAACTAACTGTGCAACTAGCTCCAGAAGAGGAGCTGCCCACACTGTAAAAATAAGATGCTAGGTAGGCCTACACTATAAACAGACATAATCAGAACTACTTTATGAGCCTCATTCCGAGTCAGCCATTGGCAAGGCTATATTCTGCAGGGGATGGATGGATAAGTGTGAGGTGGCACAGCCAGTGAAGGGGTACCCATGTAGCTTTTATTGGGCCTTTGAAACCTCCTGGAAATGTGTCGTCCAGCCCACTTGGTTATCAGGCAGGCCCTCCCTAAGTGTTGTGTTAGAAACTGCAACACACTCTGCGTCCCTCTACCAGCTGCTCTGTTTCTCATAAAGCCTTGTGCCACCTTCTCCACTGTCTATTCTGCACTGACTCTGTATTTCCACATACTATCTCTCTGCGTTATATAGTGTTGGGGCAAGGTATTTCTCACTGGTAGATTCCAGGTTTCCAGAACAGTAATTGGCACTTTCTAGATTGCTCAATAAATAGTTTTAAATACAGGAATAATCACACTACTTTTGCTCCTGTGGCTCTGGAGTAGTGTATGTGGGTGAGTACAATGGTACCTCCAGTATTAATTTCTGTTGAGGGTTGCTCTGACTACTCAGTGCCTTTGTTTCTAGCTCTATTTCTGGATTGCGTAAGGAATGTGATTGGAATTTAGAGAGGGACTGCATTAAGTCTACAGATAGCTTACAGTAGTATGGCCATTTCACAATACTGAGTTTCCCAAACCGTGAATGTGGGAGGTCCATCTTCTAGGGTTTTTTCTCCTTTTTGTTATAGAAGTATCTCACGTCTTGTTTGTTTTTTATTTTAATTTTTTTAACTGGCTTATAAATGGAAATTGTTTTTTTCTCAGCAAATTTGTTAATGTATATTTAAAAATGTTTATTTTTGTATCTCGTTTTGCTGATAGTGTTTATCAGATTTAAGAATTTTTGGTGTATTTTAAAGTTTCAGATCTAAGAATTTTTGATACAGTATAAAGTATAGAATAGTATTGTAGGCACAGGAATAATTTGACTTATTCCTTTGCTATTTGTATTTTCCTCTTGTTGTTCTGGCTAAGATTCTAAACACTGGTCTAAATGAGTAGTGGCGCTGTCTGTGGGGCTGTTGTATATGGGCTTTATCATGTTGACGTCGTTACGCTACTGTTCCAGCTGCTTTTTCTGTTAGGATGTGATGTTGAATTTTGCCACAGACTTTTTCTTCAGCTGTTGAAATAATTATGTGAGTTCCCTTGGTTCTGTTTCTATGCTATATCACACTTAACCAATTTACCCACATTGAACCATCCTTAGTTGCCTGGAATGAGTCTAACTTGGTTATAGTATGTGATCTTTTTAATGTGTTGTTGAACTAAGTTTGTACTTTTTTTCCCAGTATTTTGCATTCATATTTATTCATCAAAGAAATGTGCCTGTACTGTTTCCTTTTATGTTATGGCCTTACCAAATTTTGGTATGAGGACAATACAGTACTGGGACAAACAGGCATGCACAGCCATGGAGTGGAATGAACAGGC